TTCAAATTTCAAAAGTGTTTGAACTTTTAATTTTTTTTTATTTATTTAAAAATCTGAAATAATAGTATACAAGTTAAATACAAAAACTGTTTATTTATTTATAGTGGCATGTTTCCTTTTTTACTACATTTTGATTTGAAATTTTTTTTTTTGTTTAGGAACAATTAACATCATTCAAAATTTCTAATTGTTCTTTTTTAATTTATTTATACTTATAGGTAAATATGTTTTAAACTATTTTTATATAATTTTTGAATTATGTTTTATTTTATTTATTACTAGTTTTTTGACATTTACGAATATATAACAATCTTAATTAAAAAAAAATAAAGTTATTATTTTTGCAGTAATGGACAGACAATATTTAAGTAGAAATTTAAAACGCAAACATCAAAAAGAAAAGTCCGACAGACAGCAAGCAACATTAGAAAAAATCCCAAAAGAACCAATGTTTGACAAATCCCAAAAGAACCAATTGTTTGAAATCCCATGAAGAACCAATGTTTGACAAGTGACTCAAACCCAACTGCAGAAAGTTCACAGTTGCAGAACGTAACAGATAATGTATTGGCGTTATCTAACTTAATAGCTCAATACAAAAAATGTGTAAAATGGCAATTTATGAATACTGTGTAGATTTGATGAACAAATACTTAAATTTATTATTATTATTACTATTATTGTTATTACTATTATTATTGTTATTGTTTTTATTATTATCATTATTATTAATTTTAAATGTATTATTACATTTATTGTGGATTTAAACTGCATAGTTTTTTATTTGTTTTAGCAGAGTTTGTCAATATATCAATCTGACCAAGCATTTTGGATGATTTGAAAGAAGTGCAAAGCATTGTGGATGATTTGAAAGAAGTGCAAAGCTACTGGATTTCGACAAAAGAAATTCCTGATCATATTGTTGCAGACAAAGTTTTTGAAAAATCCAAAAAAGTGACAAAAGCCAATTTAAGGCACTGCTCTTTTAACTATTTTCCTTCAAGTTAAAAAATGTTAAAATTCGAACGAGAGACTGGCTCATTTATTCATTATCCACTAGAAAAATATTTTGTTTCTTCTACTTGTTTTTTCACGATTCAGATGACAAATTCCGATTGGATTTACTGTATTCGATGACTGGTTCAATAGACAGCGTTCGATACAAAAGCATAAGCAAAGTAAACAGCACTTGATTCAGTAGTGCTACTTTGAAAAAGTTACAATAAAAAGAAAAATTGATGTTCATATGAAACAGCAGTTAGAGGATAAAAAATGTTACTTGAGGGAAGTTTTGAGAAGAGTTGTTGAATGTTTGAAGTTTTTGTGCAGTCAAAGTCTTAGTGCTTAGTCGCTCTTAGAGGCGACTCAGAAAAAGTAGGTAACTTCAGTAATGGATACTTTCTTGGGGCCTTGGAGTTCCATTCAAATTTTACCCTTTCTTTTCTAAACACCTAGAAAATCGAAGAAATCAGGGCAGAGGAAATGTTTCATACATTTCATCAACAATATATGAGGAAATCATATTCTTAATGGCAAAATAAGTTATGCAATCCATAAGTTATGAAGTGTCCAGAGCTAAATACTTCTCACTGATTGTTGACTTGCATATCGAATAATCATTCAATATGTGAGCGAGGAAGCTGTTATGGAAGAAAGATTTATTGGGTTTGAGTTTTCTTGTAAGCATAATGGAAAGGCCATGGGAGATGCAGTCAAGAGTAGATTAAACGAGTATGGCTTAAAAATTAACATTGCTTGTGGTCAATCATATTACTATGCATCTAACATGTCTGGTAAATACAATAGCTTGCAACCACAACTGAAAAATGAGAACCCAAACATTAACTTAATTCTTTGGCGTTTATCGCGTATAATTTAGTTGGCGTAAATGCTGGAGATCAAATTATATGCCACAGATGGCGTATAATTTGTTCTGATCTTGTAAATGGTGCAGGAAAAGACAGTAAAGTAAAACCGACGTAGCGGGGGGGGGGGGGGGCATGAAATTTTAAAATATAGAGAACTTTCTTTTGAAATTGACAATTGTGTCCACTTTAAAACCCGTGTCATTGACCCTGGAAAGCTACTATTAAAGCCTGAGTTGGATAAGATGGTCAGCTATAGCCGTTTCTATTTTACATGCAAATTACATGCAACCTTAAATAATTACTCTTGAGACCCTAAAATAAATTGTTTTAGAAGATGAAAAACGTCAAACAAAAAATGAAATATTTTAAAGAAAATGAATGTTGATTTTATGACGAAACTTTGAAGGTTGCTTTTATGACGGAACTTAGACACATATATGTGCCTGATTATATATAAGTACAGCGACGGAACTTAGGCACATATGACGGAACATAAGCACATATGACGGAAAATAAGCACATATATGTGCCATGATTATATAATCATGTTATGATTTGATTACTAGTATCAAACTTCAGCATAAAAGTGTAAATTTAGCTCTTGGTGTTCAATTGTTTCAATCTCTTTTGATATATATGACGTGTCAATTTGTGAAGATTCAGGAATGTTCTGGGTTCTCAAGCGTTATTTTTAAGCAGGACAAGCATGAAAAAACAAGAAAGAAGACGCGCAAAGTAGAAGTTAGTGAGAATAGAGAGAATGAAGTGGTTCTTAGTGGCAGGGGCAAGTTTAAAATAAAACACTTTTTCCCAATCATAGACAAGTTAAAAATGTGCTTAAAGGAAAGACTTTTTGCTTACGAGTCTGCAGAGAGTTAAGTTTTCTAATTAGTTTTCCGACCATGAAAGTTCTTGTCATCGTTGCTGCTGCTAAATACTTGTATAACATATATCCTTCAGACATGGATACACAATTTCATGATGAAATTGTCTAGTTTTCCAGTTTTATGGCAAACAAATAGAATATATCAGTACTAGAATGTTTAAAAGCGGTTCGTAAAAATAACTTAGAATCAGTTTTTTTTTGTTGACATTGCATATCGGATTTTTCTAACCCTTCCCATTATCAATTAAAGTGTAAAGAGAGGATTTTCAAAAATGGCAAAAGTTAAGAATCCGTTCATCAATTTTAAATAGTCATTTGAATGCTCTTTATTTAATGACAATTAAAAGAACTTTGTTATAAAATATAAATTTTGAAGATGTTGTAATTAACTTTGCCAATGTGAAAGCAAAAAAAGTTTCGCATTGAATAAAAAAATAAATTTATTTTTTGTTCCACTCATTTCTGAATATTATTTTTTTATGAATAAGCCCCTAATAATTTTTGTACCCTAGCCCAAGTCCCTTAATCCAGCTTTGGGTGTATGATCATGCTGCCTCGTGCGATTTTATTTATTCACAAAGACTAGAAGGAGCGTGCTTCCTGTTATCAGTATTATTTAATATCGAACATGCTTGTAGTAATATATTTTTTTATAGTAATTTTTTTAATTTTTATAGTAATAAAAATTAAAAAAATTACTATAAAAAAAAAAAAAAAAAAATTTTTATTTTATTCATTTTTTGTGTGTGACTTTTATATATTTGGAGGTGCCTTAGTTACTGTGCTAGCTCAACTGTAATTTACTTTATACTTATGTTTGTGTTCTGTCTAAACCACTGGCGCGCTGTTTACTCACCTGTATAATTGTGTTCTGTCTGAACCTCTGGCGTGTTGTTCATTCACCTTTAAGTTACTTTATGTATGCTTGTGTTCTGTCTGAACCTCTAGCGCGATGTTGGTTCACCCGTAAATTATTTTGTGTTGTTTAAATCTTTGATGCGCAATAACTAACTAGTTAATCGAACTATAAAATCTACTATCTCTAGTATTTTGTTAGTTGCAATGATTTTACTAATGCATTTCCAAAATATTATGCCAAATGTTTTAAATAACTGTTTATAGGAAATAGATTATTTTAACTACTTCAGGTCAGGTTCAGGATCATCACAATCTCCTTGCTACTGGTATCATGTAACCCTGTACTATCTACTCTATGCTGCCTTGTAGGATGTGCTTTTTTAGGCAAAGGCTAGGAGAAACCAACCACGAATTAAAAAAACCTAGGCTGATTTCATCAACAGCTGCAAAATATCAGTGTTAACAGTGCAATATTGCACATGGCGTCCCTGTTAAAGATTTCGGTGCCTATTGTCGATCCGTCTTACGTTACGACTTAGGGTTAATTAGCAGGACTGAGACAACTGCATAGCTCATTGCTTAGAAGACCGTGCTCTAGTCAAGTTTTCTTTAAGCTTAGTCATGCCAAAAGTAACCTAAAGTATTAAATATCAAAAACCATACCCATCACCAAAATGTTTTAATATACCTTTTATAAATATCCGTGGTCTGCGAAGCAAGCTTCCATCAGTTGAATATTACCTCTTACAAAATTTACCAGACTTGCTTACTCTTCATGAGGCTAATTTAAATTCCGCTATTTCTTTTCTTATATATTTTTAGATAGACAAGTATATTGACTAAGATTAACCAATGTAACAGACTTTCTATTTCAACAGGTTGTTTACTGACTGCTTTTATCCAAATTGTTATTATTTATTAAAAACTAATATATATATATATCTAAAAAAAGCTGCAAAAAAGTTAAAAGAAACAGCTCTCTTGTCAAACTTTTATTACAACTTTAGTCCTTCATGTCCGTTAACTTGTATTTATAGGACAGAAAGGCATGCGGCATATGAAGGGATAGGCGCAGCGGAGTGTACATTAATCGACTGATTTAAATGGGTTAGGAGCAATGAATGTAAACCGACTGAGGGTTTGGTTTTGTGCAGGTCAGGGTTAGGGTTCGTTTGTTTGCGTACGAGGACATTGTCGAAATAGGAATTTGCCTACTTAAGAAAACAAATGAAGATTTTGGATTAATTATATTCCATAAATTTAATTTTAGAGCCTACATATATGTTCATACGCAAAATAATTGTGGTTATTTTTTTTTTATACTTATTATTGAGTATTTTCTAAAAAAACTTATTCAAAAAAAAAAAAAAAAAAAAAAAGCCAGAACATGCTAAGCTGTAAATTATTTAAAAAATTCATAAATACTTAACTGCCTAAAGAATTTATATATATATATATATCGGATCTTAAATGGTGTAAATAAAATCTAGTCGTCATCAATGACTATAGGATCGGCGCTTTTGGCTCTGATGTCTGAGGATCTTTTACAAACAATAGCATCATGAAGTTCTTGAGAGCATTTTATTTGCACAAAAGGCTTTCGAGCAATTTTTCTTTGAGCTTTCGAAGGAAGAGAACGTCTTGCTTTTCTATAAACAAAAACAATTAGCTTTAAAAGCGTGTTTATAATCTTAAATTGTTTAAATTATTTACTAAGCAGCAACATCAAGCAAACTAATACTAAAATAAAACGTTATTATTAATTGGAAACTGTTATAATATTCAAAGTAAAACACCAGAATTAAAACAGTCAAGTCAACACAAAATTTAAAACAATTTATATACTTTTCGCTGCAAATATTTTATATTATTGTGAACAGCTTATACATAAATACTAAAAATATTGTTATTAGTAATAAAATTTAGCATATATATTGAATTTTATATAGAAAGAGGGGTGTATGTTGTTAATAATAATTGTATGACCATTACATAATATCTACTTAATTATTTACTAGATAAAGCTGTATAAAATAACAAGCAATATTTAAAAATATACTTGGAATCTTTTGAAGCATTGAAAAGAAATTCTTGTGGTGGATCAACATATTGCATATCAGGATCTCTTCTATTCTGTATTCCTTTATAAGATTGTTTTCGTGATGTAGCACCGACAGGAAGTCTAGGTTTGTGTGATACAAGTGAACCATTCGAATCTTTATGAGAGTAACTAGATGTGCTGTGAAAAGGTTGATATTGATTATGTGCAGCAGGTGGTGGCATATCATGGTAGTGTTGAAATGAGCGTTTATGAGGATCGGTTTGCGGTATATGAATTTGAGGACCATTCCTTTCGTGATGCGCTTGAATATGATGCTGGAGGCTCACTGAAAAAAAAAATTCAATATAGGTAAAAAAAAGTCACTCAGAACCATAAAAGCAAAAAAGTTATTGTTTATGACACATAATTATAAATATAAAAACTATACATGAAGCATAATTATATAACTACTTATGACACAAATAGTTATGACACGTGATACATATCTCACATTTTTTCTACAGAAAATATTTTCTGTAAACCATAAACAAAACTAAATGTACGAACTTCTAAATATAAAGATAATTTGTTTAAAGAAAACTTTCTATTGCTTACTTTGGTTATGAAGAACTTTGCCACAAATTGAACATTCAAACCCTTTCCTCCCCAAAGGCGATGAAGCAGATTGCATCGGCTGTTGGCGTTTTGTAGAGGGGTAATCTGAAATTTTAAAATTAAAATACATATGCTTTGGAAAATGACACACACACATATAAAACATGTTTAATAAATTGGTGATTTCATTTAAAGATTTAGTATTTAACTAAATTCTTTTTTAATTGGTTGAATCAGTTTTTTAAAATCAAACATCTTGCTTAGTTTAAATTAAAAATTTAGCTGTATAAATTTTGATTAAAAAAAATAAGTAAAAAAATGTAATTTTTATAAAATATTAGGTACAAGTGCTATTAATTAAATGTAAATGCTTAACAAAAATTGTTAATACTAGGTCACTACTGAGTTGTAATGACACAGTTATGATTTTCAATAATTAGAGTAATGTGAATGTAGGAAAAAAGTCTTGATATTTAAACAAAAATCAGAATTTTAATGCAATTATTTTAATTTTTACATTAGGAATTTTAAGCTTTAAGAATTTAGAAGACTTTCAGAATAATAAAAGGTTGTTGGAAATGAAGTTTCAGAATTAAAAAATCAGTGTAAGAATTTTTTTCAAAAAATTTTGAAACTAAGCTAAACTTACTAGCTCTTTAAAATGTAAATTTGTGTTTAACAATTTATGGTGCATTTTGGATAACACTTCAAAATAACTGACTGGCAATGGAACGAAAATGTTGAAAAAATATAAAATATAATTAATAAATTAATTTGATAAAATTTGTTGTTTAATTTCATCCTCACTTTTAAAAGTGATGATAAAATTAAACAACAAATAGTAGTAAATAATAACTAATAAATTTATTAAAATTTTTAATATTTAAAAAAATCAAAAAATTTTACTGTTCGTATTTACTAAATAATCACAGGTATAAAAATAAAACACACAGGTGTTAAAAAACACACAGGTATATAAAGAGTTTATTTTTACCATTCTGATCACTATCAGCTGATCTTTTATGACTGCCTGACATAATCGGTGTAGGACTTTTCAGTGTTTTTGCTTTCAAGTTTTGTGTGATGGAAGTTGCTACATGTTGGAATGATGGGGAAGAAACACGACCAACTGGCGAGTTGCGCTGTTCTGGAGAACATTCTTTTGTTATAGATGTTGAAATAAGCTTTAAACTGGACGGTTTTGGCTTCTTTTTGACATTTAGGACGATTTCATCTAATGGTTTTGGGTTGTACTTTTTGACACATTCAAATATTATTTTAGCATTCTCAGAGTTGATTTTTGATGAAGCTAAAAATATTACATAAACTTATAACTATTTTAAGAATACAGAGTATGTTAGTGAGTAGTATAAGTGTAAGTGAGTATTCTAAGTATTCTTTAGACAGATACCAATATCAGAACTGCTGATTAATAGCAGTTTGCGTAAGGGCTACCTTAAAAAATTTTAAACGTAGCATTTAAAATTTTTTCAAGTTAATTATATTATAAAAAATATTTTACTAAATTTAAAAGGTAGACAATATGTGTAGTTTTTTCTCTATATATATAATTATTTTTATATGTATCATATATATATATATATATATATATATATATATATATATATAAAACTTTACTTGGTACTTCATGGCTGATGATTGCCGATAGGCATGAAACTTTAAGTTCCATTAAAAGTTGTATTTTCTATATTTAAGTGTATATATATATATATATATATATATATATATATATATATATATATATATATATATATATATATATATATAATATTATTATATATATAATATTATTATATATATAATTATATATATAAAACATTATTATATATATAATTATAAATATAAAATTATTTTTCTACTGCTTACTAAAAAATATTGAAGGAAAAAAACTTGAAGGAATGGTTGGTGTGGAATAGACTTACCAAGATCCATATTTTATGAGTCCGGAAAGCTAGCGATATATAATGATATCAAGAGCTAACCATCAAAACATAATTTCTTACAAAAAAAAAAAAAGATTTAAAATTTTTTTTTCTTTTTCCTATGCATATTTTGTAGAAATTTTTTGTTGATAAAATCTTGTTTTGTCACTCACTTTTGCTTGATCAAACGATCAAGTAGAAGTGATTGTAAAAACAAAACGCATACCTATCCTTCATCAGGATAACATCATTAAATATTTAGTTCGAACAACCAATCACAGGTAAACAAATGCCATTTTGACATCTGACAAAACACATTTTGAATTAATGAATCACCTTCTTACAAAGTAGTGATTGCAAGTTTAAAGAGTTATGTGCTGCAGTCTGTTTATCTTGGGTTAAGGTGTTAAAAAAATTAAAAAAAGAAGATATTTTACATGAAGATAATGTCAAAGTATGTGGAAGTGGGAATAGTGGTAGTCGCAAAAAACACATTACTGGTGGATAAAAGACTTGCTGCCCAAAAAATAATAAGTATTCATGTCTTAGAAGTTCTAATGGGATCCACCCTTGTACCCACATTACAAAAAACCTTTCAAAGCTAAAAAGTAACACCAAATCATGACTTAAAAAGTTAAGTCAGAGACCAAAACCAAAACCCAGCAAGAACATTGTGTCAGAGCATTTATAAAAAGTCAATTACTTCTTAAAAGTTGGTTTTCAAATAGTGCCAGTTTGCAAGGAGTTTTTTCTAGAAGTAACTAAGGAAGGATGTACTAGGTTACAAAATATTTCAATAAAATTCAAAGGCAAAAGTATTCAAAAAATAGAGGAGATAAAAAAAGACATTTAGATTGTAAAACTAAGTGTAAAGATAAAATAAAGTATTTTTTTGTCTTTATTTTAAAGTTTAAACTGACCAAATAACACTAAATAATCTAAAACTTTTAAAAAAATATGAATATAGTTTAAATGTGAAATTGTATCGTTTTTCATTCAAAACATGTTTTTTCCATTTGGTTCATCCTGGTTAATGTGTTTTTGCCTTTTTTAAATCAAGAAAATAAAAAAATACAGACAACCAATATATCAAGCCTTCCCGGGAAAGGCGTGCGGTTTTTCGTATCGTATGACCACACGCGATTATAATATTTTAGAAAACGTGAACACGGCCGTTTGCAAGTTTTACAATAATGCTGAAAAAGTTTCAAAAACAAAATTAAAAGAGATTAACAAAATTAAAAGAGATTGAAATAGAAAAAAATAAAAACAAATTAATAATTTAAATAATTTGTGTACTGCTTTTATTTTTGTTTCTTTAGAGTTACATTCAACAACAAAATTAGATAAGGCGAAGCAAAAAAAAACAAAACAGTTTGAAGTCTACAATAAAAAAAATGATTTTTCTTTTCTTAATTTATTTTTAAGAGGATAGCAAAAATGCAAATTGCAATGTGTTTGTAAAACTTATTTGTATAATTGTAATGTAACAACAAGGGTTGAATTAAGCGAATGCGAAACGCAAAATCTGGAAAAATATCTATTATTCAAAATTTTAGTTTATACAAAACCATGTTCCTTGTTTTCAAGGGAAGAATCAACTTAAATTTGTTTGCCAAAAAATAAAAAATAAAACAATAAACTTACGATTACAAAAGTAATAACACTCTAGTCACTAACTGCATTACAAAAGTAATAACACTATAATAGTGTTATTACAAAAGTAATAACACTATAATAGTGTTATTACAAAAGTAATAACACTATAATAGTGTTATTACAAAAGTAATAACACTATAATAGTGTTATTACAAAAGTAATAACACTATAATAGTGTTATTACTTTTATAACGCACTTATAACTTTTAAAATTCATTCTTTGTTCAAGCAACATTAGTATTCCTAAATTTTAATTGAAGTAGAAAAATATCGTTTTTCATAATGCTATACTTTTTATAAAGTACTTTTTTATAACGTTGTTTAAGTGATATGTGAAAGTTCTTGAAATTTTTAATAATATTTGAATGTCCGCTTTATTTTTTCTAGATGCTTTTCTACTTTAATAAATGTTTGGATTTAATAATGTTGTTTGAACAAGGAATGAACTTTAAAAGTAATAAGTTTTTATTACTTTTATAACGCACTTATAACTTTTAAAATTCATTCTTTGTTCAAGCAACATTAGTATTCCTAAATTTTAATTGAAGTAGAAAAATTTATAAAGCTTATTATTTTTAAAAATTTTAAAAATAGAAAGCTTTATAAATGTAATAACACTATTATAGTTTTATTACTTTTATAATGCAAATAGTGACTAAAGTTATTACTTTTAGTTATTACTTTTGTAGTCGTAAGTTTATTGTTTTTGTTTTGTTTTTTGTAACTTTCTCGTTAGCAAACTTTTAATAATTTGCTCCTTATAAACAAAGTACACAGCTTTGCATGAACTAAAATTTTAAAGACCTAATATTTTACCAGAGTTTGCAAATCGCGTACGGGCGTGATCACGTTCTCTAACTTGAAAAACGTTTTTGTGGTCGTACGAGGCAAAAAACTGCACGCCTTTCCTGGGAAGGCTTGAATACATTTACATCCATGTTCATGCCCACATTCACCTCCATACCCACATACAAAGTTTGTGTGTTGAAATAACATTTAGATTGTGTTTTACAATCTAATTGTTATTTCAAACCCAAAAATTTTAAACCATTCTTAGGTTTGGGTAAAAATAAACTAAGTGAAAACTAAAGTGAGATCTAAAAACAATATTCCTAAACACAGGGGTTATCACTACAGTTATAGACAAAAAGACCTGACGTATAATTATTATAGTTAATAACTTTTAAATGCAAAATATGTGTGCTGGTAACACACTAATCAACCAATATTAAAATATCTTATATGCTTTAAATACATTATGGCTGCTAGAAAATGCAGTACTTGCTCCATGGCTGGACATATCCCATTGAAAATTGTTAAGTAAAAGTAAAAGTTTATAAATAACCTGAATAGCAGATCTGAGAATAGCTATAACAGGCTTGGACAAGAATGGCATGCGATCGCACTATGTAACTGACCACGCTAATAATTTTTTTTCTTTACAACTTGACCACAGCCATTTTAATGTTTTACCAATTTAATGCAATAAATTTTTTTTTTACCAATTTAATGCAATAAAAAAAAATTGTTATGTTATAAATAACAATTAACCGTTGATCTTTTCAAATGTTTTTATTTTATGCCAAGGCTTTAATTAAATCAAATTTAATTATAATGATCGTTAAAAATAAATGCATTTTGTGTAAATTGAATATGTAAATTTTCTTTGGTAGGCATGTAATTTTTTATGATAAATTAAAACATTTGAAACTATTTACTAAATATCTTAATAAAAATTTTACTTTCTAAAAATCTTTCATAAGATTAATTCATTTTTAATACTTTGAATTATGATTAAGTTGAAATAAAAACTTACTGTTGCAATGGAATGATTTAATTGCTTTATTATTTTTTCTTTTTATTTTTACGAAGAATTGTTCAAAAGCTTTTTTTTTACTTGACTTACATTAGTAAGTCAAGTTGTAAAAATTACATTACATTATGTAATGATTTAAAATTACTATTTTGAAAATACTGTTTTTTAAAAAAGTATTTTTTTTTTTATCAAAAAAAAATTATTTTTTTTTTGACTTTTTAAAAATAATGTTTAAACAATTTAAAAATATTCTAATTTTTTCATTTCAATAATTTAGTTTCACTTTTTAAATAAACAACAAAAGTTGTTTATTTAAAAAACAATCATTAGAAGTATTTTGCAAAAGCGATAAATGAAAAGTAACTTGTAGTTACTTTTCATTGTAGTTATTTTATTAAAACGTTTAAGAAGATTAGTTTTAATGTAATTTATTTCAAACGCAATTAAAAATGTGATAAAAAGTAAATTTTGCTTTGAGTTTAAGTTTAATAAACTAATTTATTTTCACAAGGAATTGATTGTTTTTTTCAGTTTTTGAAACTTTTTTCGTAGTTTTCAGACTTAAAAATGCTAAGCTAAACTGTTTAGATTAGCTTTTCATTTTTGAGCGCATTTCTAAAATGCTTAAATCATCAAAACATCTAAACAGTTGTGGTCAAGTTGTCAACAAAAATAAATCATTTATGTGGTCAGCAATAGCATTCAGTTGCATGCCATTCTTGTCCAAGCCCGCTATGCATGGCCTTCTATAATAACAGGCTTTGACATCGCGCTATAAAGTTGCCAGACTAGAGGCCGATTTATAATACTGTGTTTACATTTCCTCTTTTAACTTTACAAAAAAGATTTAGTTTGCGCTTTTAGAGCAGATTTTTCAAATTCGATTGGTTAGGTTTAGTTAGAGCGCAACTTTAAGACGTAAAAGTTAACTTCATAACACTGGCTTGAGTATTTTTAAACTCATATAAAGTTATTTGAGTAGTAGTAGAAGATGCCTTTAAAATGCTGCATACCTCTCTGCAAGTCAAACTATTACTCGACTGAATCAAAAATATCGATATATAAATTCCCAAAAAATCCAGAGGAAAGAAAAAAATGGAGAGATGTCATCCCAAGAGCAAATTTCTCTATTTCTGACTATACAGCAGTATGTCGACTGCATTGGCCTGATGATGCACCTTTTGAAACCAAGTATGGAAAACAACGACCATTAAACCCACCATCTGTTTTTAAAAATATTCCGCCTAGTTGTTTACCAACACCATCGAATAAAGTCAGAAAAACTGTAACTTCAAGAGGATTTCGAAATTTCTTTCCAGACGAGTTTAATGTTTTTCTAAAAGACGATGAACTTTCATTCGCCGAAATTCAATCTATTTTTATTAATAGCAATGATGTTATTGTTTTTCAATTTAACAAAAATAGTGTGCATATACAGTCAAAAATGTACAAACTTGGAGTTCTATTGTTTCTTTTGGAAATTTTCGATAATTATTCATTCACAGCTTACCATAATGGCACAACTTGCAATATCTCATCTTTAACTGCAAACAATTTAAAATTAATAAAAACAAGATCTGCTTTATTTGAAGCAGTTAGATTTTTAAAACATAAAGAGAGTTCTTATCAATCTAATATTCTATTTGAGCACCTTAATGTGATGAGAAAAGTTAGTGTTGGTGAAGTATTATATACTCCAGATATTATATGTAGAGCGTATGAGTATTTTGCTATGCGACGTAGTTTATATGATTGTTTGTGTGTTGACTACAAGTTGCCCAGTATACGCACTTTAACACAACTGACCTCAAAATTTAGTTCTATGGAGGACCTAAACTTCATAAATAGTATCTTTATGAATTTAGATCCATTAAAAAGAACTTCCATTATTTTAATTGATGAATTTTATATAAAAGCTTCATTACTTTACCAAAGAGGCGCGTTGTTTGGTCATTCAGTAAACTACCCAGAGAGGCTAGCAACAACAATTTTATCATTTATGATTAAATGTCTTTTAGGACCAGAATTTATATGTAGAGCTCAACCAGTTTCAAATCTTTCCGCTGAATTTCAATTTGCACAATGTCAACAAATTCTTGACGTAATAAATATTATTGAAAACAATAAGACACTTGCAATCATCACTGATGGTAACCGGGTAAATCAACGATTTTTCAGAACATTTAAAACATTTGAAAGTAAACCATGGTTAACAACATCAGGTACATATTTATTGTATAACTATGTCCATCTCCTAAAATGTATACGAAATAATTGGTTGACAGAGAAGACTGGTCAACTTTGTTTTTTGCACAATGGGGAACTGACCTTGGCCAATTGGAGTGATTTGGAAACCTTGTATAAAACTGAATCTATTAGCCTTTTAAAACTTTCTAAACTAACAGCTAAATCAGTTTATCTAAAACCAATAGAGAGACAGTCTGTACAATTTGGTTTGTCTGTGTTTTGTGAAGAAACAGTAGCTGCTTTTAGAACACATCCAGACATTGAAAATAAAGAATTTGAAGGTACTGCTGTATTTATTGAAAAAATTATTTCTTTTTGGAGTGTTGTTAATGTCAAAGCACCTGGTGCTGGAATTCGATTTAATAATGAATTGCGCTGAGAAATACACTCAATTGATGATCAACAGTTACAACTGCTGCGAGATACTGCTGATTTGGCAAAATTTATGAAACCTACAGGTAAGCGATTTAAGCAGCTTACACATGATACCAGTACTGCAATAGAACATACATGCTATGGTTTCATTGATCTTGTGGAAACGTTATTGAGTACTGAATCCAAATATGTTTTATTAGGTTGGTTTTCAACAGATCCTCTTGAAAAAGCTTTTTCTAAGTTTCGTCAGGGGTCTGGGGGTACATACTTCATAAATGCTAAATCTGTACTTGAAAAAATACATATTCAACATACTAAACTGATATTACAACTAGAAATTCCTGTTAATGGTGTTGATGGTCATATTTGTGACATATGTTGCAGAGATGTTTCTACTGATGAAAAAGAATTGCTGGATAATTTGCATGATCTTGAAAGCTTGGTTAATAAATCGACATTATTAGCTATCGTTTACATAGCTGGCTATGTGCAAAAAAATGAAATAAATATCTATGATGATACAACCAGTTATTATAACGAATATGGAGATTATCTGAATAGCTTAAACATAGGTGGACTTGAAATTCCTACTGATACTCTCGTCCAATGGTCAATATTTTGTTTTCTATTTTTTCAGAGTGCCACTGGACCTTTATGCAGAACATTTTGTGTAACTCAGTTTCAATTCATAGCAGCCAAGTATAGATTTAAAATAACAAAGAGACAATGCAGAATATATTCTAATATTTTGTTGAAGAATTATGCACTAATTTCTACTCCTAATAGTAGCAGAGAATCGAAAGCAAAAATACTAAAGCTGTCATAGTTTTTTTGAATTTCAGGTTTTAATTCTCCTTTTGTTTTATGTCTCTGGATGTATTTAAATTTAAAAATAGTTACCCTATTTGATACATAATAATACCCTATTTGATACATAATAAGAGATACATAAAACTAAAAAGTTTTTTAATGAATTGACTTTGTTTTTGTTTTTATTTGACATTTTTTGATGTTACTTTATTTCAAGTTATGTTCTGTAAGCAAAAAAAAAAAAAATTCTTTTAACATTTTTAAATATGTTAAAGTATGAACATTTTTCAAACGATTTTAGTTTTCTTATTATAATTTTGTCTTTATTAAAGATTCGAATAAGAAAGTATTGACAAAGTATTAAAAGCGATTAGTAAGACTTTATATAAATATACAAGCAATCAAAGTTTAATCGGCCTTCAGTTTTGCGGCGTGTCGCGCGATGTCAAGGCCTGTTATTATAGAAGGCCATGCCGCTATGTAATGTAAATAGTGCAAAATGACTCGTAAAAGACCTAATAACAGAAAGAATGCTAATAACAAAAAAAAAAAGACTGATCGGACAATAATTATAGGGGTCAGAATGATCAACGAAGTTTTAGAAAATTTTAACAACAAACGCCATTTTCCAGCAGGAAAACAAGATTTAGTCAAGCACTTATTAAATAGTTTAGAGAGAATTGAAGAGAGTTCTGGAGAACAATTTTGTAAGACTATGACAGGAATGTTGGTAAGACCATAAGCTGTAGAAGAGTTTATTGAGATATGACTTAAGCAACAAAAGCTGGTGTGATTTGAATGTGTAACAATAGGTTAACCTGTTTAATTGAAATGGAAGAAAGAGAATGGCCATAATATTCAAGAGTTGAATTAGAAGAAAAGTTCTTTGCAAATATTTCTGCTATACCTTGGGTGTGTATATATATATATATATATATATATATATATATATATATATATATATATATATATATATATATATATATATATATATATATATATATATATTTTTAAACTAGTATTTAATATTTAATAAATGGTAAATATATGCATAAATTTAAATTATACAATGCATTATAAATTTTTTCCTAGCCCTGGATATTAGCCCCTGTTAAATCTTACAAATTTACCTGGGCTGGGTTTGTAAAATGTCTTACTTTTAGCCGAGCCGGGACACTGGTCACTTAATATATGCAGTACTAAAATAATTTTTAAATAAAAATATTGGGCGGTCAGATCTTTTTAGACATAACACTATATCCAGTATAACAAGAAAAGATAAAAAAACAACATACCATCTTCTTTAATTTCCATGAGATCGATCATATCAGTTGGTGTTCTAGCGAAGTGATGTAAACGTAACTTATCTTTACATAAATATCTTGCTACTTTCATAAATGGTGTTGAAGTCATTACAAATGGAGTCTTTACTTTCATTTTGCTATCCAAAGGAAAAATGCAATGAGATTTTGCAAGGTGTCGTGTTAGATGAGCTTTTAATGTAAATGTCTAAGTTTAAAAAAAAAAATTCTTTGTCTCAATGATTTAAATTTTTAAGCTCAATGCATTAATTATTTTTAAAGCACAAAGCATTACATAATTACTAACTTAATAGAGACAGAATTAATAATTATAAAGCAATCTCATTTGAAGACCTATCTACATATTCCACCTTACATTTACAAATATTTAATCTACCTCACTATTAAAGAACCTGTGCAGATATTATTGGAACTTTACCCAACATTTTTAATGAAAACTATCTTATTATATAATATTACTATTTTGCTGTGTTCCCTTATGGGGAAGTTAGGGAGATAAGAGTTAAAAGGAATAACAATTACCTTTCCACAACCATCCTCACTACAATCATAGCCACGATGCGTCGTCATATGACTTGATAAACGTTCAGCTCGATTAAACTTTTTGTTACATATCCGGCATTTGTACACTGCTTCATTTTCACTAGAAGCTTCAGCTGGAAAAATATTTTTTTAAACCTATTTTAAGATGTTTTTATTATTTCAAAATAATTAGAAAGTTCTATCATATGAAAAAAAAATTACTTGATTTAGTAGATTTCTTTAGTCCACCACATTTCTTCCAGTATACCCAACATTCCTTGCATAAATAGAGCTTGCATTGTGAAGATGATTGACCCCAAGGATACCACAAAACAGATTCCTTAGCTGAATACAATTTCAATAATTTAATTACTTATTTTGAACTTAAAATGTTATTATAATATTTGAAATATTATTCTGTTTGATTATAAATTGATTGATTAATAAATTTTATTAATCAATCATATAAAAATAAATTTTTTAAAAAATTAATAATTTTTAAAAATAAACCACACTCAAGTGATTTGGACAGATAAATATATAAATACAATATTCAATTATTATGATTATTAGATGACTATTTACTGATTATGAATTTAATTAGATATGTCATAAATAATATTTTGCTTATAAATAATATTTTGAAACTATAATCATTTTAATTTCACCCTAATTAAATGATAAAAATAATTTTCTAAACACCTACTAAAACAACTTTCACACATGTAGCTTGGTGTCACTAAAGCTCCCACTGAGTTAACCTGATACTGTGATGATGCTTGTATTGCTAAAGTCAAATTAATAGCGGTATTGCTGCTTGGTATAAATATTTGAGTTACTTTACTATCACCTTCTTGAGCTTTTAGACGTTTCTGTTGGACATATTTATCAGTAGTTTTCCACATGTAATAATATTCAACTATATTTGAAATACTTTTCCATGGTAACTGAAAATAGAAAACATTCTGTAACATTAGAAAATGTTTATTAAATTTTATAGATGATATATCTTAAACAAAAGATATCCTTACATATTCTTGTTGTATTTCTATAAACTCTTTGCCATGTTTTCTTATACCTTCTTCAAATAAAGCTGCTTCACCTAATAATTTAAAAAAACGAGCACTTTATAGAGAAATTTAAAATAATTAAAAGCGTAAATAACTAAAAGTAAAATAAAAAAAAAGTAAAATAAAAAAGGATAAATAATTAAAAAAGTCAAGCACTTTACAGATAAAAAGGACTTTAATATTTTAAATAAACAAAGATGCCAACCTGATGACCACTCCTCCATTTCATCTCTACATAAAATAGGTCCACCATCAGGTATTAAAGCTGATACTGCTTTGCCAATATCATAATCATTCTTATGAAGCATTAGTAATGCACTTAACTAAATATTAAAAAATAATAATTGATGAATAGAAAACATTAAACATAAAATTAAGTATTGACTCGAATAGTCAACTAGTTTTATAAAATGACACAATGGGCATTACAAATGTGCATTACAATGTGCATTACTTTATAGAATGACACAATGCACATTACAAAGCGATCAAATTCTTATTTTAAAAAGAATTAAGAAAAAAAAAAACAATTTCATTTTTATCAAATTTATTGAATTAGTTTTTTCAATAATTTAGTAATTGTTTATTTAAAAAATAATGACAAAACATAATTGGTTTTAATTATCAATACATAACATCTTTCTTTTTTTTTTCTGATTGAGAAAAAACTGTTTATATATAGAAAGTCTTTTAAGTTTAATATATTTACAATAAAATTAGTCAATAACTGTTTTTTATAGGTCTAAAAGACAATGACAACAACAACAACAAAAAAATGCAAATTTAGCTAGTTAAAAAGTATAGTAATAGAATAATACAAACTAACCATCTGAAAAAAAACTTTGGATTATCTCAATCATAATATAAAAGACAGAAAATTAGTAAATAGAGACACAGGCTATTGCAACAGAAGTCATAAACATTTAGGAAATAGGGCATATCCCTCACACTATAAATCCCATGTAATCAACAAAATTGAAGGAACATATACTGAATTTGTTTATTGAGAAAAAATCAAGAACTTCAGAGTCAGAAAATAAATTTTATGTTTGACATTGCACTTGAGGATGCTTTAAGCTTTATTGATATCTAAGAAAATAAAGATTTCCTTATTGCACAATGACAGAAGGATAGACAAGGTGTAAAATAGGTGAACTTGATGTTGCTTTAAGCAAAAAAGAAGATTGGAGCAAAAAAATGAGATTTAAACAGATCGAAAGAGAAAAAAAACAACAAGGAATCATTTATTCCAATAAACATTAATTTCATCATGAGATCTGACACTGAAAGATCTGACAGGTGGAAAACACCTGCGAGAAAAAAGAGGCCTAAAAACTAGGGTGTCCCAAAAAACAAAATTTTTGAAAAATATATGCTGCTACTCCCTTAATGTTTGATATGTAAAAAAAAAATAAAAAATAAAAAAAAAAAATTATTTTTTCAAATAAAAAATACTTTTAGGGGTCCCTCACGATCCTTGAACATATAATTTAGGGTTCGTAATATTATCAACAAAAAAAATGTTGGGTCTCAAATGAAGCAAAATTATATGATAATTTTAAAAATGATAATTATATTATAAGAAAGTAATTGAAAAAAAAATTATTGTCAAAAAAAAAATGGTAAAAATGTACCTTTAGTTTTTTGGTTAATTAACTTCATTTTTTATGCTATTAAATTTAACATATTTATTTTTATATAATATAGAATAGAAAAGAAATGACGCTGTAATTCATATGAGTTGAAACTTAAAAATTTAACAATGATTAAAACATACAAGATTTGAGATTTGAAATTTTAAAACTTGAAATGCTTATATATGTGATTCTTAAATTGATTTGCTTACTTAATAATTTCTTGTTAGTACATTCCAGTCATTTACAACAATATCAGTGAAAATTTTTTGTCTGATTGTGTTAAACTTGCAGTTATTGTGTGTTTTTATTGACTCTTTATATATTTTTAATTTATGGCTTCTTGCTCGACCATTAGTATTAAAATATTAAATTAGTTTATGCAAATTTATTTTATCAATTTGAATATTTGGAATAAACCCCGCCTTCTCCTGTTTTCTATTGAGGGTAATTTTAGTTTTAAATTTCTTTTATCATGACCCTAACTAACTAGACATGATATTTTGGTTGATTTATTTTGAACTTTTTCAAGCCTATCAACTTCTCAAATAGGGGTTCCAAATAACTGCTTTACACTCAATATGGGGAGAAACTAATGACTTGTATAATAAGCTAATACTTTCATCTATACATTCAAATACATGTTTAATTCCTCCCATTTGTTTATTTGCTTTATTAATTACATAGCATATATGGTGGCTCCAATCAATATCATGCAAGATAAAAATACTAAGATCTTTTTCAACTTTTACTTCCTCTAGTATAACTTCATCAATTTTTTATTTGTATTTAAGGTTGTTATTTCTGAAATACATTACTTAGCATTTTTGCGTGTTAAATTTTATCATCTGTTAGTCTTTTAAAATATTAAGATCGACTTGTATACTAATACTATCAAATTCTGATTTAATGACTGCTAAAAATTTAGTATAATCAGCAAATAGTTTGCCTTCATTTTTGATTCTAATTAATAAATCATTTATAAATACCACGTAGAATAGTGGCCTAATGAGATTCCACTATCTATTTTCTCCCATTCTGACACAAATTCTCCAAATATTACTCTTTTAAATCTTTGGCTTAGAAAACTTTTACACCACCATAATAATTTGTCAATTAGAGCCAATCTAGCAAATTGAAGCTTTACTAATAACCTTAACAATAAAACAAAGTTAAATGCATTTACAAAACCTATTAACAACTTATCTACATTGTATCCATTTGCAAGTGCCTTTGTGATAAAAGCAATTGATTCAAGCAAGTTAGTAATTTTTTTTATTAACGAAGCCTGTTGTTAATATGAGCTTTAATAATTGCTTCTGTAAGGTTGGATTTGGGCATTCAAATTTAAACTTATCGCTAAGTTTGTCTGTTGTATGTTGAAATAAAATACTTGTTTAATGTGCTTGCTATTATAGCTCTGTTTGTAGTAATTTGTTTAACTTCCCATATAATGCTTTTATCGATTCCTCTGTAAATGTTTTGCTGTTAATATATGCACATACCAATTTAGGATTTAGTTTAATATTCAGTGCTAACTTCCTTTTGAGTCTCTGAAAGAAAGTTAGTACTGAAGAAACTTTTTTTCACATTTTTTTTAATTCGCCAAATTCAAATGTTTGCATGCTGTGACCAACATATCATTACTAAATTTTGTATTGCAACACATAAACCACAAGTTTAAGAAATTTGTCAAAACAATTTTGTTAAAATAATCATTAAATTTCATGTAATCTCCTTTGCTATATAGTAGTTTACTCATTGGTGCTTCTTTATCACTTTTATTTTTAGAATATGCATAGTTGAACTTGAGTAAGTGGTGACCATGTTCAATCTTCCCCCAAAGGTGGAAGATAAATGACTAAAAATACTGTTTTTACATTTGGTTATTATCAAATCTAGTATATTACTTTCTGAACTGATTTTTACTTGGAATATTGGATAGATAACATTTTGGAACAAAAGTTTATCACTTAGACAACCCATGAACTCTTTTGCTTGAATATCCTGATCATATTGAAGTAAATTGTAACTTTCAAACCAAAACATTAATGAATAAATAAAATCCCCAAATAGCAGGATTCCCGAGTATTTATTTTTTTGATACAAATTGCTAGTTTGTTTAATTGAGCAGATTATAGCTGAATTTTCCATTTTACTACATGAACCTGGACAATACAGCCTCAAAAACAGCCTCAAACAATCTTTTCTGAGCTGACTTCAATAAAACACCAAATTTGCATTATTATTTTAAAGTCAAGTATATCATCGTCTATAATGTAGAACTTAATGCTTATTTTTAATATACCTACTCCACCTCCTTCACTATCTGTCTTTTCTAAATAGATTAAAATTGTAGATGATGTATCTGACCACCAAGTTTTACTTATAAATACAACCAAAGCATCATGTTGAATAATTTCCATTGCTAGATCGTTTAGCTTGTTGTTTAGAGACATAGCATTTGTATATAAGCATTTTAAATAAGTTTTTTTGTTCAAGTTGGTTGAATGCTCTTTTTTTAAACTTATATTTAACTTTTTGTTATTACTAAATTCCATTTTTTTCAAATTTTGAATTGCGTTGCTCCTGATATTCAAATAAAAGGAAGATTCTTCTGACATATTACTATTTAAGTTTTGGCATAAAGTTATCATTTTTGGAATTTTCATAAAATTTCGCTTCATTTGAAACTTAACATAATACACTTTTGAAAGACTTTTTTTTGATAATATTAGGAACTCATTATATGTTCAAGGGTCTTGAGGGACCCTTAAAAATATTTTTTATTTAAATTTAAAACAAAATGTTGGTTTTGCTTTGTTTTTGTTTTTAATTATTTTATTAGGAATTTAAATAAAAACTTTGTTCCTTCGTTTTTATTTTAATTATTTTATTCAGTACTAAAATAAAATGTTCTTTTTTACTGTTTTTAATCTATTTAAAATAAAAAATAAAAATAAGCTTAAAAATTCAAAATTTAGTTTGATGTTGAACTGCTTGCATAAAAAAAAAGTTAAAAATTTTAGATTAAAAAATGCAGGATGAATATTAGGGTGTATATTAGTTGAAATACAAAAATGACTTTTTTGAATTTCAACTAATATTGCTATTCAAAGGGTGCCCCAAACCTTGATATTACTAATAAAATTTTTTTCATGAAAAGATCACTCCATGACTTTCCTCAATGGGATTAAAGGTCATTTTTTGCCCACATTTCGGACTAACTGAGGGGAGTGTTACCATTATCTAAATTAATTTATCTTTCTTTTTTTTTTTGTTGCTCTATCTTTTTGAAGAAAATAAAAATAGAATGTTAAGTTTAATATGTTTTTTTATCTGAACAATGAAGATCAAAAAACTCAAAAATATTGATTTATTTTACTATATTTAATTTTACTATATTATTATACTAAGTTGAAGCTTACTCAAAATAAGGTTGAAGTATTTCTTGTAAAGAAAATCTTTCATGTTCTAAATTTCCTACTGACATAGAGGTTTTGCAATACTACTTATCTAAGAAACCTGAATCCCAGAATAAAGAAAACGGTTTTAATTAAGTGTCAAAATTATTTGAGCTCAGATGCCTTCCATAAGCTGACTGTTGTATAATGTCTAAACTGGTAAGGCCATGGAATCTTGCAGGATTCCTTACCGTAACCTTGAAAATTATAAGGTAAATTATGAATTCAAAATTTATCAACAAATTAATTTTTATTTTAAACATTGAATAAATATTGCATTTTAAAGAAAGAAGATTGATATAATGGTGAACAACTATTACAAATTAAAGAATAGCAAAAGGAACAACTCAACAGATACAAAAAGGAATGAGCCATTTTATGAAGAAATGTTAAAATGCTTTTGGATTAGTAAAAAAAAGAAGGACTAATTGAAGATATTATGAAAGACAGGAGAAGGATATCTAAAGCCAAAAATGAAGATATTGCGTTTATCTTGGACCAATTTGGAACAAATAATAAAAGATTTACATACACTATTAAGAGATCCCACAAAAAATTGTGTGCCATGTTAAACACGGAAATTAAACTAAACAATGGTAGCAATTTATACGGTTTAGAAAACTCTTCAAGTAGTGATAATAATTCTGACTGTGAATATGTAGCAGTTATAAAAAAAGAACAATCTACCCCTGTTGTTTTTTTACCAAAAAAAAATAAAAAAAAAACAGCTCCCACAGCAATAAGTGATGTTACTAATTTTGCATTATCTTCTTCAACTGCGTTTAGAGTTGCAGAGGAAGCTGTAACTAAAGAAGGAGAAAAGATTAAAAAACAGATGATCTTGTTGATCTTGTTAAATCTTTATCATAACCAATTATTCTCCATTTTGATGGAAAAATTGCTAAGGAGTTCACAAACAGAATAGAACATCAACTTGACAGACTTGCTGTTTCCATCAGGATAGATGGACGGAGTGAGCTTCTTGGGATTCCTCATTTGAATTCTTGTACTAGAGAAACACAAAAGAATACAATCATAAAACTTCTTCATCAATTTGATTATAAATTTTTTTGATAAATTACAAGAATGTGTTTTGACACAACTTGGTAATAATACTGGTAAATAAAAAGTGTGTGTGCATTAAATTAACTGCAGAGCTTGATAGACCACTACTTCTCCTAGCATGTAGGCATCACATCTATGAAAGGCATATTACTCACTGCTGGAACATTTATTAAAGTAGTAAAACAAATGGCCCAGATAATACATTGGTTAAGAAGCTTAAAAAAGTATGGAACTCAATTGATCAAAATTCCATTGTGTTAAACAAAGTAAAACTGGAGATTTTTCTGATAGCTGGCTACAGGTACAGTTCAAGGAAGCCTTATCTTTTTCTCAAAATATTATCAGAATAAAAACAATGAAAAAAGTATTTAAAGTTTTGAATAAATTAAATACTCCGTAATAAAATAAGTATAGTAAGCTACTGTTTTGTGGACGAAGATATGATAATCTAGAGTTAGTTGAATTGACAACAATGGTTTTATCTGGTGATGAACAGTACAGACTAAGAAAACCTGGGCCTGTACACCATGCCAGATTTATGGCAAAGGGTATGGCAAACTTTCTGAAAATGTATCTTCTTCTAGACAAAATTTCTAGCTTGACAGATTTCGAGAAGAAATAAATAAATGAAATGCAATTCTTCACAGCTGTGTCTTACACTGAATGGTTTATAAAGGCTGAAATTCCAGCTGTCACTATTTATCAGGTGACATTTCCATGTTTTAAAATTTTTAACCATTTTGGTTTTTATTACTTTTTTTTCTTTGAAAATTATGTGTAATATTTAATAGCCTAAAAATCTTTAGGATATGAAAGCTTTTTGGTAAATGGTGAGATAAGACTCAAAAATCAATCCTGCCCAGGCAAAACCTGTTATAGAGTCTCTAAAAAAACACACCAGGTACATTGACCCAAATATTTTAGTTATATCTCTTGTTGAAAAAAATGTACAAGAACAAAATAAGAATGTACAAGAACAGAATAGTTCATGTTTATAAATAAATTTACAAACATGAACTATGTATGACAACTAATTACTTCAGAAACTAATCACAAATATGATTTTATTATGTAAATAAAAATATTTTAACATGCATCCTGTTAACAAGCAGAACACTAATATAGTGCAATAAAAAAGCTTAAAAATGCCTCTTTTTTTATTTTTAGATCTTGAAATTGTTAAAGTAAAAAAATAATTAAACTTAACATTCTATTTTTATTTTCTTCAAAAAGATAAAACAAAAAAAAACAAAAAAAAAAAAAAAAAATTAATTTGGATAATGGTAACACTCCTTTCAGTTAGTTTGAAATAGCAGAATCTGAAAGAGGTGTAGGAATAATTTTCTCAAACAACCTAAAATGGAGAAATCAAGTGATATCATGTGTAGGCAAAGCTAATCAAATGTTGGGTATGATTAGAAAATGTTTGTTCGTTTAGATAATAGACTACTGAGATCACTTTATGTATTTTTTTTTAGGCCACTATTAGAATTTGCAGTATCCGTTTGGTCACCAAATCAAAAGGGTGAAATTGACTTACTGGAATGAGTTCAACATCATGCAACTCGACTAATACCATCACTCAAAAAAATGAAAATCGTCCAAAACCTCTTAACTACATTAACAAATAGAAAAAAGAGAGGAGACATGATTCAACTTTTTAGGATCTTTAACAGTTTCAACAAGTTAGAAACAAAAAGAAAGTTTAATTTTCAACAAACTCAAACAAGAAGTCACCGGTTTAAATATCTAAAAGAAATCACTAAGCAAGCTCATCGAGAAAACTTTATCTTTAACAGATCAGCCAATTTATGGAATAGCTTGCCGAACGATTTGGTTAATTCAGAAACAGTTAACAGTTTTAAAGCCGGTCTTGATTACTGGATGAGCAGCAGTCAGGCAAATCAGCTGTCAGAGTGTGCTAATAACACACTCACTGGTTCATACCAGTTACAGCATTTATTAATAATAATAATAATAATAATAATAATAATAATAATAATAATAATAATAATAATATATATATATATAAATATATATATATATAAATATATATATATATAAATATAAATATAAATATAAATATATATATATATATATATATATATATATATATATATATATATATATATATATATATATATATATATATATATATATATTAATGTCATATTTAAAATGTGTGTACTAAAATTATAATATATTTCAAAGATTTATTTGAAACTTCATTAAACATTTACTTACGAGTGTTATGTCTCTAGAAGCTGCTGCTGCAGTTAAATGAAGGCTTGGCTCCTTTACAGAACTGCCAGAATCCAAAGCTCTTGCAAATGTTCCTATTGATCTAGAGTCAAAAAGTAAAAGTTAAACTTTACTTATTAAATTTAAAATTTACAAACATGCAAAAATCATTTTCCTCTAAGATAATGGATATCATACATTAGTGTAATAAAATGTTTATATCTAGTCGGTCTTTAAACTACTAAATCATTTTATGTCTTCTTATTTAGAAAAGAAAACAAAAATTTTATAAATAAGAGGAAATTTTAAGAGTTAACCCTTTCTATTGCTTAGGGGTCATCCATAAAGTTTGTATGTCAAAAGTTTAGATTTTTGGGATACAAACTTCATGTTTGTTGCCATGCATACTTTAAAGACCTCATCCCTAAAAAGTACTTTAAAATCAATTTTCAAAATCCCCTCCTTTTATGAATTATTAATAAAATTTTAATTTATAAAAATTGTATAGATTAAGAAATATTTTTCAAGTTATAGTGTGCATAAACCAAATCCTTTGATTTCAGTACCAGATCCCAACTGTGAAGACTTATATATGTCTTCAATATATATATATATATAATATATATATATATATATATATATATATATATATATATATATATATATATATATATATATATATTGAAGACATATATGTTATATATATATATATATATATATATATATATATATATATATATATATATATATATATATATATATATATATATATATATATATATATATATATATATATATATATATATATATATATATATATATATATATATATATATATATATTAGGGTGTCCCAAAAAACAACATTTTTGAAAATAATCTGCTCTCTCCCCCTAAATGTGTTCTATCTAATGCAAAAACACTAGGTTTAAATTTTTTTTGAATAAAAAATATTTTAAGGGGTCACTCAAGACCCTCGAATATTTAATGGGTCCCTAATATTTTCGAAAAAAAAGTTTTTCAAAAATATGTAAACCTGGTACTCAAATGAAGCGAAATTATATAAAAATTTTAAAAATAATATTCATTTTGAAACAAAATCGTTTTTTTTGGCTTTATTACATAAAAAATTGCAATTTTAAGAAAAATTGAAAAAAATGCATTTCTAATGTTTTTTTATGATAATTTTGATAAATAAGTTAAAATAATTTTGAAATGAATATTATTTTTGAAATATTTATATAATTTCGCTTCATTTGAGTACCAAGTTGACATATTTTTGAAACCTTTTTTTTTGAAAATATTAGGGACCCATTAAATATTCGAAAGTCTTGAGGGATCCCTTAAAATATTTTTTATTCAAAAAAAATTTAAACCTAGTGTTTTTGTATTAGATAGAACACATTTAGGGGGTGAGAGCAGATTATTTTCAAAAATGTTGTTTTTTGGGACACCCTAATATATATATATATATATATATATATATATATATATATATATATATATATATATATATATATATATATATATATATATATATATATATATATATATATATATATATATATATATATATATATATATATATATATATATATATATATATATGGCGTGTGATCGCACTCTGTAACTGACCACGCTAATTATTTTTTTTCTCTACAACTTGACCACGGCTTTTTAGATGTTTTAACAAGTTAAATGCAATAAAAAAAAGTATTACGTTATAAATATCTTTTAATCGTAGATCTTTTCTGAAGTTTTTATTTTATGCAAAGCTTCAAATAAAGCCATAAAATTAATTACAATTATTGTTTACATATATGCACGCGTAAATTAATAAAAAATGTTTTATATAAGATTTTTTGATGTAGATAAATTTAAACGTTTGAAACTATTTTTCCACGTCTTCCAAAAAACTTTTTAAACCATTATCTTTAGAAAGAAATTTTTTAAATTACTTTAATTTATGAATAAGTTCAAAACATTTTGTGACTACTAGCTTTTACAAACTTTTTATGTGAATTATACAATAGTATAAAATAACTTTATTTACTTATATAAGCATATATTTTATATGCATACATATTTTGTTGATTAATGGAAAAGTTTTGAAGCATTTTGTAATGTTCATACGATTAATTTTTTTAATTAAACTTACAATTTTTTAAACAAACATGTATGGGCACCCAAAAAATATTTATTGTTTGTTATTTTTCTTTTTCTTTTTTTAATAAAAATAGGAAAAAGAAGATTTGGTTTCAAATGCAGAAGTAAATAAATATTCTCTGTCTACTTTACCAAGTTTTTTTTTTCTTTAGGACAATAAAATGAATTTAAAAAGCAACTAAGAGCCGTTTAGCATTTAAAACTGTCGTTTAATAACTTTTAGCTTAATTTAGTTTTTTTTTAAGTTTTAGTTAATTTTCAACCTTCAACATATTTAATTTAAGAAAAAATCCTTAGTAAATGTAATTTAAATAAATAATTTTTCTGGCCTCTTGAGTAAGTCCGTAAAAAATAAATCTTACGCGATATGAAATTTCAAGACAAATTTTTTATTAGATTTTTTTTTATTACTAAGTTTATCGTAAATGTCTCTTTTATTTAAAAGCCGCCTTAAAGCAACGTGAAAAACTATTAACTTTTAGTAAAAGTTTAATGGACAGAATCGCTAATATTTAAATTGAAATGAAAAATAATAATAAATTAGCTTCTTAAACTCTTATGTTTTGTATTTAAACAGTTATTATCTCTATAATATATTATATAATATAATAATTTTTACAATAACTTTTTGACTACAAGATGAATAATAGACAAACAAAACATAAGCGTTTGATAACTACTATTATTTTAATTTTGCTAATACTATGTTTTTTGTAATTATAGATTAAAAATTGTTTAAAGTATTTTAAACATCTAATAACTACTAAAACTAAAATTGTTAAAATAAAGTTAATGTTTAAAATATTTTAAACATTTTTTTAATAAATAATTACAATTATTATAATACTTGCACTTGGAAGTTTATTAAAATATTAAATAAAATAGCTTTTCTTAGCGTAACAAAAATATGCCCACTGCTAAATATATATACTTAATTGATTTGACAATGACATGCATAATTCTTGCAAGTAGGACGTATGAAGAAAAGAGACATATTTAGAGCTCAATGAACCAAAAAAAGTGAGAAAATATTAATGATTTACCAGACTTAGTTACTCCAATTAACTAATATGTATATATAAGTTCTTTATTGCCAATAATACAAATGTATAATATGAAAAAAAATTAAAATAAACTAAAAAAAAACTTAAAAAAAACCTTGCAACAACCAAGTACTGATCTACTTGTTTATCCGTAAGCGGATTATCAGGTGTCCATTGCATAGTTTCAAGTTCTGATAAATCACGATCATCTTCAAATGATGGACTACTTCTGGTTCTATCTAAATAAGGAATTCGGAAAAAAAAATTTAATGTTGATTAAAATTAATCTTAATTTAAATTTAGACAATTAAGATAAAGAATTATAGATTTTTTCAAAGTATTATACTATTATACATTAGGGTGGGGTGAAAGTTACTATTTAGAAAAATTTCTCCTTACACCCCCTAGATTTGATCTATATAATAACACTGGATTTAAATATTTTTTTAGTGGTCCCTGATTTTTTCATATTTAATGGGTCGCTAATATTATACAAAAAAAATTTCTTCAAAAGTATGTCAACCTTGTAGTCAAAAGAAGCAAAATTTTAAAGGGGTCCCAAACCTCCAAGACATGTTGTGTTCATCTTAAAGAAAATGATAAATGTTTGGGCTAAATTTTTTTGATTAAAACAAAAGAATAAATGCATACCAAGAAAAGATAACTTTTTTATTTTAGTTGAAGCACACCTTCATTTTGTTAAAGGCCAAAAAGTCAGCATAATATATGCCGCAATCTACAGACTTGATAATTTATTCAAGTGCGTTTTATTTCTAAGAGTTTCAGTACATGACATCATTGACTTTTTTGTTTGAGTAAAAGATCGATTATGTAAACAAAAAAGTCAATGATGTGATGTACTAAAACTCTTAAGAATAAACGGACAAGGCGAGTATAAAATCATAATTGTATTTGTTTTCAGAATAATCATAAAAGTAGTTAATGAAAACTTTTTTTTTCCTGAAATAACCTGACAAAGTTGAATTAAAAAAAAAAAAAAATTCAAATACTTATCTCTCTGACTGATATACAGGTGAGACCAAAGAAATAGAAAAAAGTAATAATCTTTTACTAAACCATTAAGTGAACAAGAACAAACTAAATGTCATATAATGGTAAAAATAAAACTAAAAAAATTTGCATAATTATATACATAACACTAATTTTAGTTACCTAAAACTTGCTAACTTCTTTTTTTTCTTCTTTTTGATTTTTAAGTTGCTAGAGAAAACTTAACAGTTTTGGTCACAGTACGGTCAACGGTAACAGTCACAAGATCAGGCTTGGTACGGTCAATGGTAACAGTCACAAGATCAGGCTTGGTCGAGAAGCGGGAGCGATCGCTCTCGATTGCTGACCACGGAAATAATATTTAGATGCGAAAAGCTGGCCAGATTTTTTTGTCGTTTTGAGAACGTTTTTAAAAAGCAAAAAAAAAATGCGCTAAAGATTAATTGGACCAATAAGAAACAATAAAGAAAAAATAAAAATAAAATTAGCAAAATAAAATGTTTTATTTTCCTAATTTTATTTTTACGCGAAAAAGCTTAAAGCAAAAAAAATTACGTTTAGAGCAAATATTTTCGAAACATCGCTCTTTTATAATTTTTTTATGAAATTAAGCGACAGTTTTATATAAAGTAACATCTTATCATTGTTTAAAAAGGAAACAAATGTTTTTTATTTAACAAAGTTTGCAAGTTTTAATTTTAAGCTAAATTATTTTATAAATAAAAAAGTTAATTTTTTTAATACCTATTTTATGTTTGGCGTAGTTTGAAAAGTTTAACATATTTGAAACAATTCTTCTTAGTAAGATAAACAAATGAAATAATTAAATCATTAAATTACTATAGAAATTATATTAACTAGAAAAAAATAAACTAAAAAGGCTAAAAATACTGTATGACGAGAAGCGAAACTGCTTCACAATATTGCTAAAAATGTTTAGTGAGTGGGCTTTTTAATTTTAATTATTATTTAAAGCAGAAAAAAGTATAACGAGTTTTTAAGAATGGCAACTTAAGCAAAAAATTTAGAGTTAGTAAACCAATATCTAGAAACTTTTCTTTATATCAAATAACTTGCTATATATATTTGTGTTCTATCATGACCTCAGACACAGTGCTTTTTCATCCTCGAGTTACTTTGAATGCATTGTTTGTGTTTAGTAACCAGAAACTTCTTATATGTTTGTTACATAATTAGTTTTATTAACTTTAGTGATTATTAATAACTTCATTAAAAACGCAAAGACTTACAAAAATAACTTTATTTTTGTAAGTCTTTGTTTACAAATTAAATCATAAAAATTGCTTCAAAAGATTACATTACGATAAAAACAGATACACAAAATCACATTTGCAAAAAAAATACATACTTTTTAAATTTATAATAAACTTTCAAAGTTTTGACAATTTAAAAAATATATATTTATAACATTTATTTTTGTAAACAAATAATAATAGTTTATAAGATTTACGGCTTCGCAGATGTGGCTCCGAGAATGAGCCATAATATTGATTATATATTTTTAAAACAATTTATGCTAGAAATCTCATAACGTAACAAATCGTGAATACAATTTTTCAAACATTTCAACAGAATACTCTAGAACTTTATTTCGCTTAGTCAGCGTATTTTTTAAACCAACAGAATTTATTTGTTCATTAATTTGGCAAGTTTTTGGTGTTTGCGAATATTCTTTTTATTATCACACACCAAGATGTTTTAAGAACATTCAAGTTTTTTATGTTTCCATGTATGTTCGCAAAACAAAATTTTTTTTGTTTTGTACATAAACTTAAATGCTCTCAAAACGACTAAAAAACCTGGCCGGTTTTTTGCAACTAAATATAATTTCCGTGGTATTCGAGAGTGATCGTTCCTGTTTCTTGACCAAACCTGCAAGATCATTAAGATATCTTGACACCTTGAATGAGCATTTTAAAAGGATTTTAATCTTTAGTTTTGATCTTTTTTCTTGACTGTAATTTTAAAACTACAGTCAAGAAAAAAGATCAAAACTAAAGATTAACTTGAGATTTGTTATATATAATCTTTAAAAAATAAATACCAACTGTTAAAAAAAAATTGAGAATAATTCTAACTTTCCACTATTAGTGAACATTAATTCATTATGTTAACCTATTAAAACTAATTAAAAAAGAAGAAACATTACCTTTTTTAATTAGAGGAAAAGTAGTAAAAAAATCTGCTTGGTACTCTTCACCAACACCAATCTCCCCTCGATCAGCCAACAATGTCTTTTGTTGTGGATCATATACCAGTAAATAATAAAACCAGTCATCCTCATACAAATAATCAATCAATTTTTCTACTTCTGAATAGAGTGTCACAGAGCATTTCCCTCTGAAAAGAACATAAGCCACACTTCTTTTAAAAGCTATTATATATTTAAAAAAATATTAAAAACAATAAGATACAAGTTATTAAAACTTTTAATATAAAAACAATTTAAAGTCTGACTATTTACATCACAATAAGAACTTATATTTAGAATAAAATAAAAATTTTTACAAAAATTATTCCTAAATATTGCCTTTTTGGGTTTGCGCTTATGATATTTAGTTGTTATGAAAAAAAAAATTAAACCTGATAGTGTTTGCATTTATAATTTCTAGCTGTCGCGAAAGAAAAACTTCTCTGTGCTTCAGCTGATGGTGCTGCTCATCAGATAAATTGTTTGTCCCAACATCAATTTCATTTTCTTCTTCTGCAGACACTTAACATTAATAGATTGAAGTTAATTTTTTGTTCACATAAAATTAATTAAAGACATTTTCATATGATTTACATACATGCATGTTTATCAGCCTGGGTAGCTAAAGCATTTGACAAATCACGCCTGCGATAAAAACAAGATACTTTGGCTTCTACTTGTCCATTGGTTGTCTACACAATAGAAAATAAAAAATAACCTCATTAAAAAATCTGTGTAACTATGTCATAAATAAGCTATAAAGAATACCTACAATCAATTATTTTCTAAAACAAATAGTTTCCATAATTTATAAGTTGTTGCATAATTATTTTTTTCTTTTATTGTAGTATTTAGCTTACATAATTAATTTTTAATTTAATGCAAAAATCTTGTTCAACTGACCCACCTAAAAATTACAGGCAAACTTTTAGTCAAAAAACCTAACAATTAGATTCCAATACTCCTGTACCTTAAAGTTATTTGCAATTTTAAACAGCAACACTCTATGCAGCAATGTAATGTTATGGCTGTCTAGTTGTATGGAAAAACTAGCTCTTTCAAAAGAGAACTGAAATTGATATAAATGACACAATCAGTCAGCAGGGTAGGGCATGGTAACTAAAAATATATTATTAACAAAACAGTGTTTACAAATGAATTTTTTTTAATTAATCTGCAAGAACTGCAGATTAATTTTAAAAAATTCATTTTTTAACATTGTCTTGGCAAAGACTTTAGAGGTATGCGAATAGTATCCGTCAACCAGCCTTGCAGCCACTCTTTATTTTTATTATTATTATTTTTTAATCCATTTATTTAATCATAAAATTGAAAAAATTATTTATAATTTTCCAAAAATAGGTTCATTGTTACTCGTATAGTTAAAAACTAGTCATTGGAGTGACACCTTAATAAAAAAAAACAAAGATAACAAAAAAAAAATAAGTAATATAAATAGCAACCAAAATAAAATAAAACAAAATCAAAAGAAGAACTATTACGTAAAAAAGCAAGACAAATAACACAAAAAAAGGAAAAAGTGAATAAACTTACATGAGAGATAAGATATTTAATAGACTGATGAAGAAATAAACCTGTGCTACATTACAATTTCAAACCTAAGACGATGAAAGCTGTCTCTACTTAGAATAACTATTGCTTTTTTAATAATAGGCATGTAACTCTTTGTAACTTTTCCTAATCATGATACAGCTATAAAACTCTGTTTATTGGTTCTAAAACAAACAAGTTAAAATATCAGAGTATTAACAATACCATGTTGTGCATGGATGCTGTTCCTTTTTGCTTTCAGTGTTCATCTTTAGGGAGAAATCATATGAAATCTTTTTAAAATTAATTTAGGCAGATTATTGAAAATAATGCAACTTCATAGTTTTTATAATTTTATAATGCAATAAGCTAAATAAAAGCCAAGCCCTGCTTTAGCCTGTTAGCAGGTTAAATTAACTTTAAAATATATATTTTTAAATATTTGGGATGTTTTAAGAAGTAAAAAAGTTGCATAAAAATAATTTTCTAAATAAGACCAGACATTTTTTCCAAATTTTTTCTGCTATTCTTATTCTGGTTTATATGCACAACAAAAATATCAAGAGAAATACTATCCATGCATTAAATGGCACTATTAATATTCAAATATTCTACAGCTGTTGATAAATCCAGTGGTTATAAACCTTTAAGACCTGACAAATTTAAAAGCAACAACACTTTTAAATTTATCACAATTAATCAGGTTACATGTTAAAATTCACACCCTACCTTATTTAATATACTCTATATAACAATGAAACATTAAATTACATACTTCATTTACATATAAAGCTAGAGAAAACTTTCTAAAGATGCAACTTGGTCTGCACAAAACTGTCTAGACATGCAGCTTTGACATTTGCTATATCAGATTACAGAAACATGACAAACAGTTCTGAATGTGAAGTAAACTTATGCAGACATTGTGTTGGTTTAAAAAAAACCATTGTACTGCAGACCATTTAGGTATATAGTATAACTTTTATATACTATTAGATGCTTTTCTATCATCTGAAATTTATACCTTTATTAATAATAGTAATAATAAAAAAAGAAACAAAATAAAATATATAAATCATACCTTTGTTAACTCTTCAATTCGACGTATTTGGTATGGAAGACTTGGTTGGGTTTCCACAAACACATAGTCTATATTTAATCACATATTTAATAAAAAGATGAGCGAGGCGAAAGAATTTGTGCATTCACAAATGATCTGAATAAAATTATTGCAAAAAAAGTTGCTTCATGTAGATTAATTGTAAACTGTAGAACATAAAGAACAAATTAAAAACAAAAATAAAATAACAACAAGTTAAAATTAAACGATGATATATCATGGCATAACAAAAACACGAAACGCTAATAAATGTAACTTTGGTACTTGTATTATTAAAAGTTAAATTGTGTAATAAACATATTTTAAACTACTGCACTGTAATTAAATTTAATCTTAAAGCACTTTAAAAATTGTTTTATTTTCAATCAAATTTAACAAAAGGTAGTGTTTACTTTGTCTAAATATTTTTAAACAGGACGAACATTATTATAATAATCAGATTAAGTTACTTTAAATTTTATATATTTAATTTGATCTGCAAAAACATTTAAAATTAAATTAAAAGTTAAAGAAATCTAGATTACCATTACATCGAATAAATCTACTAATGTGAATATGAATATCTGCTCATGTATGTGTTACAAAACCAGAAGTAAAAAATCTTTATAAAATCTTTATAAAAGTTTTTATTTTGTCACTTTAAGATTAAAAAGATTAAGATTGGTATAGGAAATATAAGTGGAACTAAAGTTGTAACATTAAATAAAAACTACACTAAAATGAACAAAATGAAGTTTTGCAACAAAAACATCATTATTTAGACACAAAAAATAAATATTTTTATTTTTGCTTCTTAGTCATTTATTTTTAGATTTTCTGTTTTTTTTTTGTTTTTTTAAAAAAAAAAAGTAAATAAGTTTTCATAATTGAAACAGAATTTTAAGTAACCTTAAAAATAATTCCAGAAACAAAATTTCATACAATCTAAAATTTGCTTAATAAAACAATAACCTAACATTAAAAAAAAACTGAAATTCAGTGAATGAAGCTGTTCTATTGTTCAACAAAAAAAAATCGCTTCAAAGCTATAACTTACTAACAATCCTGCTGTGTATAGCTTATTATAATAAATACTACCAAAATATTTAAGTTGTTTTATCTTAGATTCTTTGTACTTTGACTATGATCTATTGATTTAACTTTAACAGTCACATGAATGCCTGAGCATATACTTACAAATCAATTAACCTATTTTTTGTGAAATTAAGTCTAAATCCTTAAAATATTCTTTCATATGCTTTTTTTTTAGTACCAAATCAGGCAAGCATTTTTCTTTTTTCTTTCTTCTTTTCCATTGATGTTGTCTTTTTCCTTTTTTTCCATTCTGACAAAATTTTTGATATTGTTTCTAATGACCAAGCCCAATCTCTTTACCCATCTGATAATATTTTTGTTATTGATGTTTAATTATTGATTGTTGATTTAATGCTTGTCACACTGATCCTGCTAACACTAAACTTTTACTTGGTATAGTTAACATAACTAGTTTTCTAAACAAAAGAAATTACTTACCTTCACTCCTTTTATATTCACTTATTGTATATGACTCCAGCTGATGATCAGTTTATCCTTGATCTCATTTAAGTGGCTGCAACCTATGATCTCACTAAAACTAATGGTTTCTGCTTTAGACAAGTAACAATACAAAATAGATCTAAGAAAAATTTATCTAAAAACTAGATAAATATATAGACATAGCAGGAGATAAATTTATTATAGTTCATATCAGCATTTAATGCACCTATACCCTTAAGTTAATTTCTTGCTTTTGATCCTAAAACATGACATTAACATTAATCACTGTGTATTGCATAGATTTTGACAACATATTTCAATTTGGCACTGGCACAAGCTGAGGAATAGCATCAGCTTATCTTCCAAGTAGTTAAACAACACTGAAATCAGATTTACACCCCACTGAAGAAAAACTACATTGGTAAATAAAAAAGTGAATCTGTAACTATTGTATTGTTGACTCTAAAAAGACTCTGATTCTTGTTATACAGTATTACAACAGTATTTCCTGTTTTTGTGCATTGCTACTGTAACAAAGCCTTAATTTGCCGGTTTTCTTTGCCAACTTTGAGGAATAATCACACTTTTTTTAACTTTGAAGCTTTTGATTAACATAATAACATAGAACTACAAGTTTTTACTGAGTTGTTCCTAACACTATTTAGAACAAATGCAGTGGGTGTGAAAGATTTATAAGAAAATGTGCATATACTATCTAAACACACTAGTATTAATGTCAAATAACAAATTTGCTCATCACAAATAATTATAAACATGACTTGATTCAAGATCTATATACTAATATTAAATTTATTCATCTTAGTGTATGCTAAAATCAGAAGTCAGTTTTTTTTATGGCTAAATTGTTCCAAAAAAATGAAGTAAAGCCAAGTAAATGAAAAAGTTGATACTAGAAAAAATAAGTGAAACCAAAGTAAGGCCAAGTAAACAAAGTAAATAAGTAAACAAAAGCAAGTAAGTGATAAAAAATAAAATTGCTATTGAAATACTTAGTAATTTTAACTAAAAACTGTAAAATAACTTAAATTATTTTATAATTTAAGGTTTTTTTTTAATTTAAGATTTTTATCTATTGTTTCTATTTATTATCTACAAGCAATTTGTATTTACTACCTGCATGCAGGTTAAAATAAACGAATAAGTATAGATTTCATGAAATTACAATACCATGGTGACCATTTATGCTCAACAAAAAAAGAGTTGCACTGATTTTATTTGGATTGCTTTGTATTTTTTTGCACTATTTTAAGTTAATTGCTAATAGTCCTGGAAAAAATTATTCTAAAAAATCATAATTGGTATGGATCTCATAACTACAGACAATTCTTTTCTAATATTCACTCTCAAAGTCTTGGAGAAACCATTAAAATCAAGAAGACCACTCTTTTTTATGTTTTTATTACTATATACCTTTGAAACACAAACCTTGGCAAACAAAGCCCTGCATAAAGAAACAATTTAAGCACTGTACTAGCTGGTATGTAATGGGATTTTAGCTCTAATAATGTGGAATGATAGAGCACTTTGTCAGTTTTCTAACATTACACAAAATAATATGATATACATACACATTTATTTTAACATTAGTAGATTTATTTTTCGAGCAGCAAACCTAAAATAATTTTGTGAAGAGGAATATTAGGAAATTTAGGAATATTAGGAAAGAGGATATTAGGAAAAAAAATTTGTAACTAAAATTTTAAATACTAAATGGCTTGCTTTGATTTTAACTAAAATCTACATTTCACAAATATAAGAAAATTTGATACAAATATTCAGAGATCTCTCAATAACAATGGATTCAAACTGTTTAAAGTAAACTTTTTTGAAATAAAGAATTGTAGATTCCGCAATTTTTTCTTATTTTTTTCTAAATAATAGTTTACTAATGATGACAATCTTTAAATTTGAAAACTTAATATATATTTAAATAAAGATTGTAATTCTAACTGTAACTTTTTAGAACTGTAATTTTAAATATTTTGATTGATTACAAACCACGTCATATTAAAGGGCAACCCAATTAAATTTTTTTATATACAATTTTGAAATGGTCAACAATTTTAAGATGAAAAAATTTATTCAGCTTTTCAAATAAAATTCCACATGAAACTCCTTTCTTGCATATAAATAGTTGGTCACATTAAAAATATTTTTAATGTACAAATATTATAGAATTTTAAAAAAATTTTCCACTATCTACATAGCTATGTTTAATATCTTTGGTTCATCAAAATTGTATATTTATGTGTGTTGCTTTTGATTACAAAATGTAATTTAAATTTGGTTATATTTTTTCATTTTGATACAAAAATGGCTTTGATACCATCTGTTACCTTATATATTGTATTTATGTGAGTAAGCTAATCATACTAGTTTTGATGAACAGTAATAATAATAGTCGCTTTAATTACGATAATAACTTGTAATAAGATATTGAACGCATGCATTCTAACTGAAAGCAAAAATAAAACAACTCACCTCCTACTCGATAGATATTTGAAGCTGGTAGAATTTTTGACATTTGTGTTGTATTTTCATATTGTTTCCCGCTTACGGACATTTTTTCAGCACGTGTACTTCAATACTAATTTAGCAATTTGGTTGTTAAAATTTTAAATGTTAAAAAAAACATTAGTGACGAGAATGCATTTTCCTCCTAAACTTATACGATAACAACATTTTTTACAACAAAAGCAAGCAAGTGTTCTGCTCATGTGTTCTGTGAATGAGTATACGTCACATCTCCCGCGAAGGTGTCCTTCAAATTCATTTGATATGAAACTACTTCGCTTAACACCGCTTTATTATTTATTATTAATCGTAAAATAAACAAAAGTACGACTTTTTAATTTTTAAAGTGTTCAGTACGGTCAAATTGTAGATTAACAACATCAAATAAGCAAACCATATAAAAACCGTTAGTTTTAACGTTTTTTTCCCAAAAAACATTTTTTTTTTTAAAAAACCACTAAAAATAAATATTTGATTATTAAAAGTGGTTTAATCAAATTTTAACATTACTGAACTTTTATTTTCATAGGTAAAGTTTTCTATAAAGTAGTATTTTCTATATTTACCTTTTATTATTTATTTAAGTTTGTAGATAAATATATTTTTTATAGTGGATTTTTTCACTCCATTCCATTTAATTTTTACTTTCAAAAGAGCCTATTTAAAAAGTTGAAAATTTGCGCAGTTTTATATATATATATATATATATATATATATATATATATATATATATATATATATATATATATATATATATATATATATATATATATATATATATATATATATATGTATATATATATATATATATATATATATATATATATATATATATATATATATATATATATATCGCAATTAAAAATACCAAAAGTCTTATACAGGTATTATAAAAGCAAAGCACTACGAAATTGGAAAAGAAATAGATATCGCCGGCCCTAAAGTATAAACCTGATAACGGCATTTATATTTTGAATTTTTTCATAATTTATGTAATAAAAGAAAAATTAGTAAATTCGGTATTTATTTTGTAATTAGCACGTTTGTCACATAACACATGTTTTTTTTTAACGCAGTGACATTTTTAATAAAGGAATTAACAGTTTTTCACTTATAATATAATGCTACTTAAACATATTTGTTTTAATTATAGGCAATCTATTTAAATACAACAATATTGTATTTAGAAAAAAGGTGTTCCTAATCTATGTTAATAAAATGTCATTTTATTAATATATATTTGAAACATCTTTTTTTAGTTTTTAAATTTTGCCTCGTTAACTTTGGACCGCAAACAGTGTTGTAAATTATTTTACAACATTGTTGTATTTACAAACAGCATTGTGAAGTATTTCGAATACTAGTATTTTAAATACGTATTTCAAATACTTTTAAAGTATTTGTATTTTGTTGATTTGTTTATCAACTACAAACAACAATACAATGCGTGCAATGGCCAATTGCTCAAAATTGTGGTCACGTGTCAGCCGAAGCACACAAGTATCTGATGCTGCGGAAAATATTGCTAAAGTTTGATTGAGAACACCAGGGAAGACTTGATGGAACTCTACATATGATGTTATATGCATCATAGATGCATTAAAACTGTGTCGTTTTAAACCAGTATAGTCGGATATATTATAAGAATAAAAAACATTTATAAAACTTATTGCTGATGGGCAATAAGTTTGATAAACTGATGAACTTTAAGGGAAAATAATTGTTTTCTGGTATTTCTCATGCCAACAGTTCAAAAAACTTGTTTTAAACCCAAAACTTGTTTTTGTATTTTATTTTAAATACTTTTTAAACCAAGGACTTGATTTTATATTTTATTTTGAATACTTTTTTGAAAGTATTTTTTACAACACTGACCCCAAAGTATAATTTTAAAACTAAATGATCTAATCTTACAGCTTTTCCTATTAACAAAACGAAACTCAAATTCTCTCTCATCAAAAAAATCGAAAAAACTTACTCTTTAACATAAAGTAGCATTTTGAAAATCTTAATACCTTTAAATTGAAATCACAATAAATCACATTAGATACTAAAATCACACACCAGTCAGTATGTTGATACTGACTGGTGATATGGTGACACACCAGTCAGTATCAACAATTACTAATAGGAATAGTGACTAGTCATGAAATAATAGTTTATGATAATGACAATAGTGTTTAAGTAAAATGCTTACTAAATGATGCTGATTTCATATGGAATCAAAAGGCTATGACATTGCAGACGGTAATTTTCTCTGCGGTAGTATTTTTCATTTATCTGTAAGACTCAATTTAAAAATACTTCATCGTTTTGAATGTATTGAAGAGCTCTACTATTAAATCCATCCTTGTTTTTCAAATTATAAAAAGCAAGATTAAGTTTTGGAATTTTGTTTCATAGTATAAATTACTAATTTTTGATTTGGGGTGCTATCAGAACAAATAGCAAGTCTACCGTAACTTAACACTTTCTTTTTCTTAACTTTTTTTCTTATTTTGATTGAGCTTCTTATTTTTTAATTTAATATTCTAAATAATGCTCTGAGCTACTTCCGTCTTATTGCTAACTTTAAAGAGAGCACATATCTCACATTGGACTTTTTCGAGTAGTACAATCCAAAATTTTTTTCATTAAATTCTTCATAAAAACTTGCAAATAGAAAGAGCAGTGACGTTGTTTGTTTTACACCAATCTTTTACATAAAAGCGTTAAAGGATTATGATCGTCACTCTGGCAACAAATATTTTTATAAATATCCAACAGTAGTTAAATTCTATTACTAGGAATGACTCTAAAATTTTTCAAAGCTCTTATTCTAAAAGCTTTGAATTTTAGTTTTAATACAATCTAAATCTTTGTTGTTCCTTTAAGAAACAGTAGCTTGTTTATTTTTCCAATTTTATTCTGATCATCTTTCGATTCCAAGAGTCTTCAGAAACGTAGTCAGGGGCACTTTTAGTGGTTGGCCTACTTTTCCAAAATAGTAAAATATAGATTGTATTTTTTTAAACACTTTATCACTTGTTCTTCCCCTTGGTTTTTATCTTGTTCTTTGGGACAAGATCCTTTCTCCGTTTCTTTGCACTGGCATCTCCGTTTCATTACTCTAATCTACTTTGCTACTTAGTAAGTCAATTTTTCTTTTTTTTTTCTCTCTTGCATAATACTTAGAGCACATGTTCTAGCATAAAAAACTTTTACAAACGAGGGTTAAGCTAAAGTAAGCCGCACTTTTGATGCGATGGGTTTGATAACTTTAACTATCACCTGTTCAATATAAAGTCTAAAAAAAGTTAAAAGTAGAAATATTTTTTAGCTTGTGTATTTTTTTATTTTTTTACTTGTGTACTTTTATTTTAACTTTTCGTTGTCCTTTGAATGGTATGTGAAACGTAATTAATGATAAAAAATTAATTTAACAGTTTTACACCTTAAACCGGCGACAAACAGAAGCATACGCAAGGAAAGTTATTTATCAAACAAAAATTAAAAAACCAATGCTTCTTTTTATACGAACTTTAAAAGATTTATTTTTCATATTTTTTGGGAAGATGAAAATCTGAAGTTCATATTTTATGATTATATCGGGTTTTTTTTGGTTTCTTTAATTGAATTACAGTTGAAAGGTCAGTCAAATTACACTATGAACTTAAAATAAAAACTATTTGAAGTTCTTTAAATAAAGTTGTCATGGAAGATTCTAATATTGTCAATGAACAATTAAATAATAAATGAACAGGATTTTTAAACAAATACAAAAATTATCAGATAACAACATGAAAAGGAAATGATAACAAAATTTTTGCCGACGATAAACTTTTACAAGGTTTGTTTCTTTGATCACCAAGCTGGTAAGCGTGGTTCACATTTGTCTCATCTTAAACAAGTAATCCAGATGCAGCACAGAAACGCATTTCATCGTTTTTTAATTTTTGTTTGATAAATAACTTTCCTTGCGCGTGCTTCTGTTTGTCGCCGGTTTAAGGTGTAAAACTGTTAAATTAATTTTTTAACATTTGCGTCTCCTAAAAAAAAAAAAAAATTTAGGACTTTTAGATTCTGGTGGTTCCCCCTGGATCTGTCACTGCCGCCCGATCAATTATGGATAAATGTTAAAGTTAGTTTTGTGTTTACAAACCACCAGACAGCCCCGCCTAAATAAATGAGAAAACAAATAATGAAGTTAGTAAATCGATTAATATGGCCACATTATTAGTTCAACATAAAACAGTTCGCAAATTTAATAATAGTTGGAGATTTTAACTACAATTCAAGATCGTGATCTAATGAAAGAATATTAAACACGAACAAATAAGCATAAAATTTAATTAGTCGTTTGAAGGAAAACTTTTTGTACCAAATAATCAAAGAACCAATTTTTTTTTTTTTTTTTGTTGTTGTTGTTGCTGTTATTAAAAAGAATCTAGTAACTTAAGTTATTAGATTCTTTTTAATAACAGCAAGCACTAGAGAAGGAAAGCCAAGCCCAACTCGCCAATACCTAAAAAAAAAGAAAAAGAAAACATCATCTTATACTACAAAAGCATTATTTTACATATTTATTATTTTGTTTTAGAAAAAGTAAGTTTATTGATTTATTTATTAATTTATTATTATTATAATAATATTATTATTAAGTTATTAATAAAGGGGAGCGTTATTTTACATATTTATTATTGTTGTTCTTGAATTAGTGACTCGTAAAACATGGAAATTAAGATATTTTGAAGCAATCTGTCTTTTTGATTACTTAAAACATTTTGTTTAGAAAGAGACTTCAGATGAAACTTTTTTTTTGAAGCAATCTGTCGTTTTACTTATTTAAAACGTTTTTTTAGAAAAAGACTTCAGATAAAACTTTTTTTTTCTAAAACGCAACGACTAAAATTCAAATTTATCCAATCAAAATTTGAATAGTATAAAATGATCTATCTATTTGAATAGTATAAAATGATCTTGAAAAGTACCAAATGATCTATCAACTTCAACAATTATTCCACTTGTTAAGTCATATAAAAAATCTCTTAATAATCCAGATAATTATCGAGGAATTAGTATTTTACCTATCTTTACTAAACTTCTAGAGTATCTAATACTACGAATATGTCCTAGTATAACAGATAGCCATTCCCATCAATTTGGTTTTAAAAAAAAACAGTTCTACACTCCACGCAGAATTTTTACTGAGTGAAACTGTTCAGCACTATAAAAACAATAACACGCCTTTATATATGTGCAGTTTAGATGCTCATAAAGCTTCTGATACTTGCAACTGGGATTTGCTATTTGAGAAGCTGAATTTCCAAAAAAAACTTCCGTTGTCTATAGTACACACAATATCATCCCTTTATCACTCTGGTTCTGCAAACATATCCTATCAAGGTGTTACCTCAAATCAATTCAGTCTATCACAAGGGGTGCGACAAGGGTCTATTCTATCGCAGCATTTATATAACATTTATACTGAAAGCATTCTAAATGAAATTGTCTCAGAATGTAAAGTAGGATCGACAATAAATGGAATTTATACTGGTGTAATTGTATACATAGATGATATAATTTTGCTAAGCCCCACAATCTCTGGTCTGCAAGAACTGATTAACAGATTTCAAACATATGGAGTAGCAAACTTCATCAAGCTAAACACTGAAAAAAACAGAATTTCTGATTTCTGGAAAAAGTTATATTCCTAACAACGTTGTTAAAATTAATGGAGTTCCTATATATCTTCAAAATAAATTAAAACATCTGGGTTTCCAATGGGATAACGATACCAGCAAAAATAAAATTGCAACACTCCGAAAGAAAAATTTAAATGAGCGTATAACTCAGTTTCAATCAGTTGCAAAAGCTTTATTTGACAGTGGGATTCGTTACTGCCAGCCATCAACAATTGTTCATCTGTACAATACATTAACAGGGCCGAAGCTTATATATGGTCTTGAACTATGTAAATATGATACTAATTTTCTCAGCAAAATAGACGCTGTTGGAAGAGCAGTCTTAAAATCATTTTTTTGTATTTCGAAGTTCAGTGAAAATTACCTTCATTCTTTTTTTAAAATAGAAGATATCTCAACTATTCTCCTTAGGAACAAAGTTAATCTTTTTATCAGGCTGCTGAAAAATCAAACTTGTTACTCACTGATAATTAATCAAATACAGGAAACACAGAAAAAAAAATCCTTTACAAACGAAGTATTTGATGCATGCAACACACTTGATTTAAATTTCATACAGTGCATGTTAAATAGCAAAAAAATTAAATTGACGCAACCCATCGTAGAGCTACAAACTAATGTTATGCTAATATTAAAAGAAACGTTCCAGTTTTGGAATTTGAAAGAAAAGAAAAAGTCGTTTAAAATCTTGATGGAGGTGAATGTTCCTAGAACTCTGTCCCAATAATATGTGGAAAACAAACCGGCTGTTTATAAGCATTTATTGCTAACAACTACAAGAGCCGTGTTGTTTTAGCTGATTTTTAATTTATTGTTTGAATATTTAAATATTATTTTACCTGTAATTTACTACCGGGTGATAAAGAGAAAATATAATAATAATAAATTTGAAAGAAAAGTTGCGTAACTTTATACGCAAAGAAAAACTTTTGAAAAGACTTATATTTTTTATATCTTTAAATTTTTAAAATAGAAGTAGAAGGTCAACCATTAAAAATTAGCAAAAACTGAACTGTTTTCTAAACTTTTTTGAAAAAATTAATTATGAATAACTGGTTAAACAAGAAATATAGAATTTTGGACCCCCCCCCCCCCCCAACATAAGGTTGAATTTCAATTAAAATATAAATTTTAGCAGTTTGAAAGTTATTGCTGAAATAGTTTCTTGTCATAAATTATTGAACAGAAGTTTTGTCTTACTTAAGGATCATAATTGTAAAACTGAGATAATTTAACATGATTTCTAACCAATGTTGCATGTTCAGGGTTGCGCACCAATAATGCCATCTTTTGCAAAAAAAAAGTGAATAAACCGTAGGATTTAAATTAGCTGACATAGTTGATATAACTTCTAAATGACCTTTTGGGTAAATATCTTCCCTGGAAGCACTGCTTCCAGGGTAAGTAAAATAGTTTTTTTATTGAATAGCTAAAGTAGTTTTTCTACTAAATAGAAAACTATTTTACCAGTCATTTTAGTTCTAACTTCATCCAAAAAAAAGAAAATAGGCTATAAAAATTAGAAAAATAAAAACAACCAACAACAAACAAACGATTATTTAAATTTTTATTGTAAAATTGAACAATGAACAACATCAATTTCTTTTGAAACTAAAAATTTATTGGCTCTAATTTGCTTGCAGACCATGCTTGAAAGACCACATGAAATATATAACCGCGTGTAGAAAAGCCTAGAAACTACTTTAACAACTTTTGCTTTAGTTATTAATAAATATAGAACTCTAAGAAATATTTAAAAAATTACAAAGACTTTTTGGAAGAAAGTCTATATGTAGTAAAAATAAAACTCAAATTACCCAACAAACCTCGAAAAATTGGCATGCGTCCAGTTGGTTGCGAATAACAAACTAAAAAACTGCTATTCACTTTTAAATAAAATTCTTTGTTTGATTTAAGCCAAACGCTCCACCTTTTTCTTCCTTTTTTGATCCATTAATTAAAAGTCAAATTGAGTTAAACTAAAAACCGGACTTAGTGTCACTTATTAAATTTAAGACTCATTTATGCCAAAAAAAATTTAATTAAATTTGCGACGCGACTAAAGACATTTTGCTTAATTAAATGGTTTAATCTTGTTAAAGTAAGACCAACATTTTTTGCAGAATTAGCAAAATATTTACAATTTAACTAATATTTTAGGCTATAAAAAACCTTAAAAAAAAGTTGAATATGAAAAATAGCGATTTTAATTAAATAGAATAAATATAATATAGATTTTGTCACTTTCAACCATGATGATATGATAAATAGGGACTTATTATATATCATAAACAACGTTCTATTTAATTAAATTCAGCTTTTTCATATTTTTATATCATAGTAATTAAAGTATTTGTTATAATATATTATAATAAGTATTATAGTATATACATTATAATAAATATTATAATAAATATTATATTATAATAATTTTCTTAACGTATACGCAACCGGTTATTTAATTATTGAATAATTAAATTTATAAAAATGAAGAACCTTTAGAAATAAATTATAATATTATATAATTTTATATTATATTAATATATTATACATTTTTTAAATTGTATATATATATATATTATATAATTTATTTATGTATATTATATAATTTATTTCAAAATTTTTTCACAAGTATTTATTTAAATTAACAAAAAGAACTTTTGACAAAATTTTGATTGTTTTTGATTTTGAAGAAATGATGCCCTAAAAAAAAAAAAAAAATTCAAGGAAATTAATTTTAAATAACTTTATAATTGTTTTAAAAAATACTTAAAGTAACTGAATAGATAGGGGAAGTTAGGGCATCAAGGCGAAATGATTGCCTAGTTTCAACCTATTATATATATATATATATATATATATATATATATATATATATATATATACATATGTCTTTTCTAAGTTATTTTAGAGCTTTTAAATAATGGGGGGGGGGGGGGGGATGCATACTCACATCGCCCTCTGAACCCGTCATTGTACTAAATATATTGTATTTTCATTGATTAAAAGTTTAAGTTAATAAAATTGAAAAAATAACAAATTAATATTTTTTTTACTTTAAACAAAGTGGTATTGTTTCAATTAATTAAAAATTTCAATTAAAAGTGGCTTTTTAATCATAAAAGATCAAAAATGTGATCTTTTAATGATAGTCAAGTTAACTAATGTTATTTTTTTTGAGCTAATTTAAAGTGTTTACATTATCATGTGGTCTTTACTACTTTTAAAACAATAAAATGTTATGTTGGAGCTCTTTTACTACTTTTAAAACAATAAAATGTTATATATATATATATATATATATATATATATATATATATATATATATATATATATATATATATATATATATATATATATAACATTTTATTGTTTGTATATCAGTTTAGGGTTTTGGTAAAGTGCGGAATGCGTAAATTTTGAAACAGGTAAATGTGAGAATAAAGTACAAAAATAGGGTAGTGGAAGCGGGGCTTCAGTAAATTTATTTATGGAGAACACGCAAAGAGTGCTGCTGTTTCGACGGAGGGTTTGGATAAAAAAATGGTTAAAATTAAGAGAAATTTTACGAATTAACATTCTTGTGGAATTATGCAAGTCTAGTCATCCGATCAATAACTCTACTAAACACTATACTTTTTTTAATACGTTTGGTTTTGTGATGGAGCGTCACATATAGACTTGTCAGCCGTAAGTAAATGGAACACATGACTGGCTTGCTAGTAAAAGTGATTGTATAACCAGCTTGTCAGTTATAAAACTGGCAGCAGCTCAGCAATTCAGCAGTTAAAAACTTTGCTTGATGAGATACATAAACATTCACCTGCTAAATTTGCTAGATGGGAAAATCTCTAATAGTTATTTTTCCGAAAAAGCCATAATACCTATCATAGAACATGAGCTAAGCAATGTTGGTGTTTTTTACAACCCAGTAGTTAAAAAGTCTTATCACTTTTTCCACAGTCTTACTTCGCTATTAATCAATAAAACGCAAAAAGATTGTGTTCTTTTACCGAATTAGCAAAAATTGAATCTTGAATTTTATAGCTAACTGCTATAAAATTCAAGATTCAATTTTTTGTAAATTAAAAGAAATTACTTAACTACCGAAAGAGCCGAAAAGTTTGTTTCCATTTCACAAAATTTGAAATTTTAAAATATTGAAACCAGCAGTAATGAAAATAGTATAGACACAACTATCTCTCAAATAGACAGCTTGAGTTTAGCAAATGTTACTTGTATTTCAACGCCTTGGTCAGCAGCAATTAAAACAAAAATTGTAAAAAGTGACTTTCGAATCATCGGAAGGAGGTTTGCGGCAGAACTTTTGTTAACTACATTTATAACCAATAGAATATATTATTCATTTAAGAATTTTTAAGTATGTATTCCTAGAAATTAATTACTGCATAGGTTTTTTTTTAAGGGCCAATATATTTTTCTTTGACAATTATCAAAAACAAATAATAAGGTCTTATAATGCTTGTTATACACGATATATATTAGAATTGTTTATTTCATTAACTTTTGAAGTCCGATATTAAATTGACATATTATATACTAATATATTTGCATTATAAAAATTACAACGTTAATTTCCTCATAGCATGACAATGGTAGCTGTAATATCTAGGAAGTGTACTACAATTTTTAGTACATCATGACAAATAAACATTCTCATCGTATACCTAGATTTTCAATTAATTTATGTTTTTAATTAATATTTTAGTATAACTTAAAATTCGTATTTATACATGTATTAGTGCTTATAATGGTCATATACTAGAAATAGAATAAAATAAAAACTCTTCCAAAATTTATGCCATAAAAACTTTAAAATTGCCAAAACAACAACAAAAAGTATCAAAATAAATAATTCAATGATGAAGAAAACACATTTCTTTTGTCAAACTAAAACGGTCTCTAAGATCATTTATAAATTGAGAAAAATTTACTTATTAACTTATATTCTTAAAAAAAAAGTATTTTAATTTGCTTATTTGTATTTTAATTTTTTTATTGAATAACTTATTTGTTTGATAAAAACTTTTTATAAATTATATTATTTAATAATTATAAATATACTATATACAAAAAATATTAAAATTACTTTGAAAAACGTATAAAATGCTTTGGTAAATTAAGAGTAGAACACTCAAGACCCATAACTTGAAAAGGAAATGGTAGATCAATAGACCACTCGTCTCTTTCTAAGTCATAACTTTCTACAATATCCAGATATTTCCAAGAACAGTCCCTTCCTCCTATTATAAACAGTTTGTTATTAACCAGAGTTGATCCAGCTCGCCACCTTGAAATTTGAGATGAACTCTGAATAACCCAGTTGTCTAAAGTAATGTCATATATTTCAAGAGAAGATACACAATATCTTTCACTATAACCACCAAAAACATAAATTTTATTGTTAAAAATAAGATAAGTTGCTCCTGCACGTGGTATTGACATTGGAGAAAGCAAGCACCATTGAGAGTTATAATAACGCTCTAATGATGCTGATTTCCAGCCACCAACTGCAAATAAACAAGTTTCATTACCAACAAGACCATGACAATATCTTGCCTCATTCATTGGCATAAACATGTTCCATGTGTTAAGCTCATGGTCATAAAACTCAACAGTATCTAGAGCATTATAACTTCCATCCAAACCACCACTAACAAATATTTTATCATTGTATACACACACTCCAGCTGATTTTCTTTTAGAATTCATTTCACAAACTTCAGACCACTGATTTTGACTTGGATTAAAGCATTCAACATTAGAAATTGGTCCTCTATGGCTGTTTAAACCACCAATAACAAAAACTTTATTCCAAATTAAAACTGTTCCATGATCATGCCTTGCTACTTTCATTGGTGCTAAACTTCCCCATTTTTGTGTGATGGTATTGAAAGCAAATGAAGCCAGCAAACAGTTGTTACCATCATAACCACCAGTTGTCATAATTACTGTCGCTGTATCAAGACATTTTCGAGGAGAAACTGTTTTACTGAAAGAAATAGCCCTTGAAAGATATTTTTCATAATAAGAATTTTGAAACTTTGTTGTTGAAATAAACTTTTGAGATAAGTATGGAATTCGTATGCACTTAAACAAATCTTCAAAATGTAGCAATCTTACTGATGAATCAAAATAAATCCATTTCATCAAAGCACTAAAAACCACATCTTCACTTGAGACTTGAATTTCATCACTAGACAAAATCTCAATTAAATCTTCCAAACTTAAATTCAAAAATTCTGTTCCATTAGCAACTAATGAGAAATTGTCATGCAACATCTTTAAGGCTTTTTGCTCTAAATCAAAGCAACAATATCGATTTGCTATTGTACTCACTGATAAGCAGTTCATAGGAGAAAGAATATCTTTCAAAAAACTAGAACAAGCATCACGAAGACCATCAATTATAAAAAAATTTGCACATGAAAATAAGGACTCTACATTTTCTACAGTAAGTTCAATCTCGCCAGTATATAAGTATTTGATAAAATCGTCAGCAAAGCGTGGAAGTAAACCCGATAATTCCATATCAACTTTTCCATCAATTTTTTCCTTCATGTTGGTTTGTAACATTGTCGAGAATACTTCAGAAGAAGCAGCTAAAATTATTCGATGAACTCTAATTTCTTTGTTATGAAAGCTTAAAATAATGTCAGCAAAATTTCCTCCTTTAAATATATCATTATACATTTGTTTAAGTATATGATCAATATGAAACTTATCTATAACTTTCTTCGTATTATCATCTCTTTCCATTTTTATATCTTGACTGTTAGCTTGTTCACTATTTATTTTCATCCCTGGCATAATTTTGCATACCGCATAAATTATGAGAAAATGAAACGACAAAATAAATTTTATAGAAAAATGGCATAAATAAATATAAAACTTTTATTTTAATGAATGAAAAAGTGTTGCTTATACTTTAATATATTTTATTATAGGATTATATTTTTCTTATATATCTCAGTAAGATTAAATTAAATAGAGATATTTTAATTAAGATAAACCGCGGAAGTTTTATGTATTTTTATTTTTTTTAAGCAGGGCATATTTCGAAATATTTTTATAAATACAAAAAGAATTAAAACTCTCCCTCTATGTGCTTCACGTTATTTTAATGAGTTGAATTATATTATACTACTTCTTTTACTGAGGATCTGCGCGAGTGGTTTTAATATCTATATAACGAACTTAATCGTACTAAGGAAAAACACAATATAATCCTTGTATAACACTATATCCATTACCATTTTGAAAAAAATGTCTGTAACCAGCTATATATAGACAAACTAAAATTCTATATAATCAAAACAAGCTACAGATAACGGAGTCAAGCGTTTTTAATATGAATGCACTATTTTTATATAACTTTCTATTTTTACTTAACATATCTTCCACCTTTTTTTAAAAAATCATAAAAAATTTAAAAGAAAAAATCACGTCAATGTTTTGGCAATGTTATTTTCAGTCAATAATACAAATAATGATAGAATCTTTATTGAATAATGTATTTGATTTAAAATTATAAAAACTAAGATTGTTTAAAATATATATATATATATTTTTTTAACCGTTTCAAATATTTGTGATAAATTACGTATACAATAATATTATTAAACTCTCAAAAGTGGATGTAATTATATTAATAAAAAAAACTGTAAAGCGTCATTATTTAAAGAAAGCCTTTTGTGTGTGTTGTCCCTTATAATATTAGAGTGCAAAAGATGAATATGAATAAGACTAAAGTAAAGCGATTTTTGCAATTTATAATCAAGAAAGATTTTTGATTTATGCAATATAGTTTTTACAGCTTGTACAGTAGATTAATACAATTACAAAGGATATTTTTGCTACAATGAGACCTATAACATTTCATCATAATAAGACCAATATAACTTCTTGATTTTATTTTGATAACTTTAACGAAAAATGACTGTCTTTATTTTATGAGAACTTTCATGCGTATCAATAGTATGTATTAAAAATAATAGTGGCCTAGGATCAGTGCCGGATCAACGGGGACTATAGCCCTGGGCCCCGCAACTTTAGGGGCCCCCAAAAATTTTAGAGGAGCTTTTTTTTTTTTTTTTTATAGTCATTTTTAGGCTCTGGCCCATAAAAAAGCCTCCAAAAGCAAAAATAGCCCCGGGCCCCAAGAAGTCTTAAGGTGGCTACCCACTGAATAAAAAAAATCTTTAAAAGAACCGTTTTATCCCCCCGTATTTAAACATTTCAATTGCATTGGCATCAAATAAGACAAAAAAATACAAAAAGGTTATATTTTTATATTACGTCATTAATTGCAGAGTATTCCAAATCAAGTAAAACTTTTCAAAAACTTAGCTTATTATATGGACTGTGTGCCGAGTCAAAATTAAAGTTGATATTTTAATTTATTGCTCTGAAATTTACAATTTAGTATAAACCCCTAAAAAATGACCCGTTCTACCCTAATTTTAATTTGAATGGGATGCCATAGTATAAATATTTTTGACTCAGCACATTCATCTAACTAAGTTTTATCTCTGTAGAAAATTGCAAAGAAAAATATTGAACAAAACTAAAGATACCTTTGTTAGATGGTAGAAAATCTTTAAATAGAGAAAAACGCATTGGAAAAAAAAAATTCAAAAATAAAAGCTACAAATTCAAATATGGTCTAATTTTAGTACTTTTGACCAATGTCATTTAGCTTATGAATAACTTAACAGTGTAGATAAGAACTTGGTTAAGGTACAGTTAAAATATGGAGAAAAAGTGCCCATTAGTTCTGGAGAAAAGAAGTTCCAACTGTCGCTAAGACCGTTGCTAAGGAATTTTTGGATGTTTACCCCTTTTTAAAGAACAAAATTAGGGCAAACTTATAACTTTTTTTTCCATTGTAATACACTTTTATTGTTTATAAAGGTTAAAACTTCCAAAAAACAGAAGAAAAGAAAATTTTTTTTCAGACTTTTAATAGTGGGTAGCCACCTTGATCCACCACTGCCTAGGATTGATCTCTGTGGAACTCCGCACCCTACATCAAGAGCCTTTGACTTCTCCAACACAATGGTATATTATATAAAACTAGATGTCTAACTTCGATCCAAAAAGTAAAGCTGCTTTTTGCCTTTTTACAAATGGCGGATTAAATTTGTCAACAAATATTTTTAACTTTTCTTTTCTTAATTGAAGTAAATGTATTTTAAATTTAAATACTATTTATGTAAAAGTGTAGAGCGGAAGTTAGGATACTTGTAAAATAATAATTTATAATTCGATTAAAAAGGGATTAAATTTTTAAATAGAAAAGTAAAACGACAGACGCTTTTGAAGCATTTTTATGAATTAAAATACTTTTTAATAAAAAAGGCTCATAAAAAAACTTTTATAAGTATTTTATAATGATTAAAATTTGTTTTTAAATTATCTTTAACTTATTGGGAGCTTTTAAATAGCATTTTTAACTTTTATTCCACACTTCGGCTTCAGCTTTTGCACTTGTGCAAAATGGCGGACTATTGTTATAAACAAAAAAAAGCGGCTTCATTTTTTGTCCAATAAAATCTCTCAAGTTAGACATCTAGTTTATATAATATATTATTGCTCCAACAAAACATACTGTTTTGTTGGAGCAATAATATATTATAAAACTAAAAAGACGTTTAAGTTTTGAAAGTAAGGCATCAGAAAAATCTGCCCACCTTTTGTGGTGTGGTAAAGCTAGTTAACGGTCGTTTTTTGAAATTATTTTTTTGTGTGTGGTAGTGTTTGTATAATAGAACATTTCGACAGAAAAAATTAATTAAAAACATTATTTAGTTTCAAAATGTCAACCGAGCAAACTAAACAAAGATTTTTGATTGTGGACAAACACTTAAAAAATCCAACTTTATCGAATAAAAAGTTGGCGAAATCATTCAAAATATCAAGAAGAACTATAGATACTGTTCTTAAACGGTTTACAGAACAGAAAAAATGGGATTACGCTGCTAAAAATTACAAAAATCACTCTGTCCAGAAACTTATGGGAGGCATCAAAAAGAAAGTCAGAATTTTCTGTAAAACTTAATTTTTTTTTTGTTTTTTCCCTAATAATATGTAATCTTTGCAGTCTTAATTTTTCAGAAATATATTGATTTAAATACATTTCAGCTTTCTTACATCCTTTTTTAACCAAGAAAGGTGGGCAGATTTTTCTGATAGCATGCCTTAATTAACTGTGTTTTAACGTTTTAGAGAGATCAATATTCTTAATACTTTTTACTTTAACAAAAAGACATTGATATTTTCATGGCAAGTTTTATAACAACGTGTTTAGTAGAGCAGTATTTATGAAATCTTATTTTATAATTTTATGCCACCTTATATCACAAACAATGCTTTCTAATATTTTTGAAAACACTGACAGAAGTAACAGGGGCGATTTTATGGGACTGTCACCCCCCCCCCCCCCCCCAAGAAGGCAAATTTCAACTTATAGTCTGTTTTTTTCAGGAACTTAGTCAGTTAGTTAATGACACATTTCAGTTTGCAGATTTTTAGTTTTAAGTTTCTTTTTTTTTAAAGCAGTCGATCACCCCCTCCCCCATTATGTTCCTAGATTTGCCGCTGATAAGTAATATAGAACGGAAGTTTGAGACAATATAATGATCACCTTTTTTGAAAATCAGTTAAACTGAATTACTCTTTGAAGCAGTCGACACTAATAGCATTGACAACTTTGTATGGTAGTATCTTCGATGGGTGAACAACGCAATTGTTGAATAAATTTAAGCAAACGAAGCAATTATTTACAATTTCACAATGAAAGCACTACTTTTTCAACCTTTATTTTTACTTTTAAAGCAAGAGCAAATCATAGATTCGCATCTATTATGCAGAGAAGCGACCGTACCTCAATCAGAATCCGGCTAGTTATGAAGCAGGTTTATTAGGTTTAAAGAAAGTGGAATGGACGGTGTTTGGTTTAAATTGTTGTTGGACACGTAGAAGTGTTAAGATTATAATTTGATGCGTTGGTGAAACTCGCTGATGCGAGGCTTACTGTTTACGGTTTAAGTATTGATGTTGCTTAGATAAGTAATTTTTTAAACAAGTTGGTTAATAATTTAAAAAGGATTTTGAAAACTTTAAACTAATTTTTTGGATTTATATTAACTGTTGTTTCAAATTGTTATTTTTACAGTTGTTAAGTTTAGAAGAAAAAAAACAAGCAATAATTTTGTTTACAGCGGAGTGTTTGTGACTGTTGCAAAAACTCCCACTCCAAAAACGTAAACAAAACACATAGAGCATGTGCTTTTATCTAATAATTCTAAAAACAATATTGCTTGAGTAAAACGCGTCCTATCTTTATAAATGCGGAAATATGGTTTGTCTTATGGTCTGTGTTATGGTTATAAACCCAAAATATAGAGTTTATAACCACAACACAGATCAAAGAAAATACCTTTTCTTTCAACACTTAACTAAACCTTTCAGTAGGTTAGCTATTTTCTTTCTTTATAACATATATGGCGAAGTGCCAACGTTGGTTTTTGGTTGTTAACAACGTCGCATTTGTAATAAAAATGATATAAAAACATTTTTGTGCTAACACAACTTGTAACATCGTTCTAACATTACTAAAGTTTGCGTGATAGCTAGAATACGATGATATAGATTCGATCAACATTGATCCTTAAAATTAAATCAATGTTGGGTTATATACATTAGATGAACGTTTGGCTTAGATAATAAAAACAATCGATTTTTGCAATGTTTTTACATACGTTGGATTAATGTAACGGCGCAAGTTTTTTTTAGACGCGTCGGTATTAATCTTTTTGACATCATTGCTAAACATTTGATATTGGATCGTTGGATTTGTATCAAAACATCCAATATTAGTAATTTTCATACACAGGTCCAATTTATG